AGCTGCTGACTCAACCCAAAGACCGTCTCGGCAAGCTGGAGGAGGATCTGGTCACTTATCAGAGTCCACAGAGAGCAAGCCGCCTGTGAAGAGGAAAACACTTTTTTTGGTCCAACCAGTGAGCGCTGACTGCAACGGACAAAAGCAGGGAAATGTAATGATACTTCTTATCAGATGCGGGGATGCCAGCATCAAGGCGCTCTGCCTGCAACGCCGGTCTGGCCCGCCGCCCATGGTTCATGTGATGACGTGTGGTGGCCCGTGACATCTGTGGCGCAGCAACGTGTCTTGACGCGCCGCGCCCCGTGTGGCTGGTGGGCAGGTCTTTCCCGGTTTGGCTAGGCGGTGAAGACGCGCGCCGCCCGATAATGCAGGGGAAGAATGGGAGCAATCGTGTACAGCTCGATCAGTTGCCCTACGGTCTTTGAATGGCGCCCCCACACTTCGATGATGGCATGAATACAAGGCAAGAGACTTCCTATTGAAGATGACACCATTGTCTTGCATGGCTACACTCACTGCTCTGTCATCTGGTTGTCCCCTCTCTTGCTTTCGACTTACAGGGCAGCTCCCAACCGCCGGTGATCTCAACAGCATCATGATATCGACGACACCGGCAAGAGTTCGTCACAAGCGCATGAAGGCCTCAAAATGGAGTCGATGATTGACTGGATCAGTCCTCTCGCAAGTTCAGCGCTATCCCAGTTCTTGCGCCTCGAAGGACCAGCGACAAAATATGAGGTGGAGTGGGTAGATGATCAGAGCAACCTACGGTTCAGAGGTCCAACCTCGCAGCCAGTCCAGGTCGTAAAAGTGAGATGGCCCCCATTTCCCCAAAAAGTGATTTATGCTGACTGTCTTTTGCTGCAGTGGGATAAACAAGCGCCTCCGACCACAGCGATTCTGTCCGATTCCGTCACTTCAATTCGTGCGATCTTTTCGAGTGAGTTCTTAGAGGACTTGCCGAAAAATGAATTGGATAAGTTCAACAACATCCGGAAAAATGACATTGGTTGTCGTTTGGAGCTCTTGGAGTTCGAGCTTGTGCTTGAGTACATCAAGTCGCAACCAGCTATCCACCTCTTTATCGAGGCATTCAGCTTTGTGGACCAACCTGGGTTCGTGAACAGTGTGGCAACGCCTGTTTCGCTTGACGAGATTCCCGAAATTAGAAATCTAATTGATAAAGCTATCATTCAAGCCCATATTCCCCTTTACATCCGCAATCGCAGGACTAACGGCGGCCTCGATCCTGAAGACAAGTCTGAACCTGGGGATGAGTCTGAGTATGAACCAGAGGAGGATCCTGATTCCGGGGACAAGTATCAATACGAGGAGCCTGAATCTGAGGATGAGTATGAACCTGAGGACGAACCTGAACCTGAGGACGAGCCTGAATCTAAAGGCCAGAATGAAGCTGGCGATGGGTACGATTCCGACGAGTCTCTCATGTCTCAGCCTGTCCATCTTGTTGCTACCGATGATCCTCAAGCTGAACTGGCCAATACCTTGCAATCTCAGGAAGCGTTCGCTACGCAAGTCCCGCCGGCCAAGTCATCATTTCATCTCCACGACCAGATCCCCGCTCCACAAAATACTGTGGCCCCTCCAGCGCAGCGAAATGAGTTATTGGGACTCCTTCAGAAACACAAAAATGAGGAGAGGCGGCAGGAGACTGAGTCTCCTTTAGATGCTCCGGTCAATGGAGAATCCAGTGTCGAATCACCCAAGAACGTCTCCCCGGCGAAATCGGCCCCGGCTTCCCAGCTCGCTAATGATGATACCAATTACGAAGCGACCACCAATAATTCGCTGGAGACACAAGAGCCATCTGATCATCAAGCATCACAAGGCAGTCGGGATTCTTCCCACACTAGAACCTCTCCCTCACCACCCAGGGCAGATTCCGCTCCCCAGGACAAAGGGAATAGCAGGAAGCGCAGTGTTTCCGAGACTCTACTTCCAGCCGATTCTGACCATGAATCAAGAGAGCCTTCTGCATTAGCTGAGCTCTCCCATCGCTCCGGAGAACAACTGAAGGAGGGTGACTCACAAACTGCGGCGCAATCTCCGAAGAGACGTAAGCAAAACCATACTCCCATGGTCAAAAACTTAGACCCCTCGGATCCTTGGGAAGGCATGACGAAGATTCGTCGAAGGGATGTCATGATTCCCCAGGATCAGATGGAACTACTGGCAAAACGCGATTGCTGGGTCCCAGCCGAACCGGGGCAGATAACACCCCGTTGCCATGTCCCGCCAAAGTTGCTGCAAAAATGGAATGAGATGATCTCGCGAAAAAGGTCGAGGTCCTTACCGGACAATGTCTCGGAGGACTCACACTCGGGAAATGCTGAAACTGCTCTTCCCTCTGTTTCCAGCCCTGCGTTGCAGCCAGAATCAGAGTCCGATGAGGAATCGGATCCAATTCCGTGGTCTCCGAGTCCTGAACCCCCAAAGCAACTTGTGCCACCTGACAGCAGTCCCTTGCGACCACGTGAGTCTACTAGACGATCAGATGCCATAGCCGTGCCTCAAGTTGCTATCGCCGTCGAGGTACCCCCTCCGGACTCCCTTGTCGGCGAAGCTCGAAATCGACTTTCACAGGATGAAGTGAATGACAGCGAAGACCGTCGCGATGCCGCTCCTTCGCCAAAAGTCTATGAAGCAGAGCGGGATATACGAAGCGACCCGTCAGAAATGGAGGTTTCTGTTCCTTGCGCACTCGACGCCGCCTTGCAGGCGGATATTCACAGCCAGGTCGAAGACCAAGAAATCACCAGTTCAGGCCCATCAGTTCCTGCTCCTACGGCTACAGAGAAGATACAGGTGATTGAGACTCTGGATGAGTGTCTTCGTTCAAAGAGGACGAACATTGATCACTTGTCGCCTCGAGGAAGTATACCGCCTCAAAGTTCATCAGAGGCCACGAAGACGTCTTCTCAATCGAGAATCGCAAATTCTTACGATAGCAACGGTCGCGCACTAGGAGCTGACCAGGACCCGTTTGCAAGGACTCAGAGCACTGTGGGTGACAAGGGCACACAGAACAGTGGGAGCGACAGACGGGACCACATTACCATGTCGCATCCAGACACACAAGCCTCAGCTGAAGAATTCCCCACCAATTCAGGCTTCTCTTTGGATTTCAACATCTCATCTCAACCAGTAGCCTCTGGTATGTCTGGCCTTTCAGGCATCTCAAGTGGGCCGGAACACGACTTACCAGCACCATCCCAGCTGTTCAAGGTGAGCCAGATAGGCCCTCAATCACAACCAGATGTTCCAGCTTCAAGCGTATGCGATGGTTCCACTCAAGACAGCTCAAGAATGGAAATAGATGTGGCTTCAGTCACTTCACCACGGAAACGGCCTGCCGATGAAGCCGCTCTGGACGAGCAGTCATCGCCCAAGCGACCCAGACCCGCTCCGACTAGCCACAATGATATTACCTCTGACAATTATCCTGAAAATTTGCGAAGTGAACCATTGCATCAACGCAAGAGCGGGTCTCCCTCAGATACGAATCGTGACAAGGCGCAGGAGGTCTACGACAAGTTTAAGCGGGATTACCCCTCGTATACAGGCGATTTCAACCATTTTGCAAAGATATGCTCAAAACTCCAAGCGCTGCGAAACCGAGGTCTCATGCAGAGATCATTTTTGTGGGACGACTTTGTCATCCAACACCTAACCGACTACGCGCGTTATTGGCAGCAGTGTCTCTCCGCCGTGGAAGAACCACAGAAATATGAAAACTACTTTTGTGATAAGTTTGACAGGCCGGTCTCTAAGAAACGAAGTCTCACCGCGCGTGGCATCGAGATTGTTGCATCGCAGTGCCCATCCCGTGCTAGCGTTGACTCTGCTGTGCCCTTTGTGGTTCGCGGAGAAGCGAATACGTCGTCTACCGGCAGCCTGGTAGAAAAGCTTGCAGGGCTCCGAGCACGTTCCTCCCCAAGCGCTCCTCCAAATGAGGTGCAGGAGTCGATGCAGGATGCTCCTGCGGATGACGACACGACCGATGGTGATACCGATGATGACGATGGTGCAGGTGAAAGACACGAGACGGCCAGCATTGAATTAGGAGATGAAAATGTGCCAGTTCATATTTCTGGTGAAGTCGACCGTGCCACCAGACCCATTCGCGACGTCACAAATGAAAGTGACCGAGATATTGAAGAGTCATCAGAAAGCGAGGATGATCACTCCGAGGATGCAACAGAATCGGGTTCAGGGGAAGGCGACAAGAGAAAAGGCAGGACGCTGGCCGACCTGCTTCTGGCTCCGCCTCCTCCACCGGGACCTGTTTGGTCCGACTCACCTAATACACCCTTTAAAATCTGGGCGCGGGCAGACCAAAACCTCTTGATTGAGCGACGTCGCCGTGGCGGTGCAGCCATGCCCACGGACGAAAAGGGCGTGATCCAGCCTCCGCTGTACCCGCGTGAGGGCTGGGAAGATGGAATGCGCACTCTTGGATGGAATTGGAAACAGTCGAGGGATTATTCTTGAGAGGATTCTGAGGTCGTCAACCATATCATGCCATGGTTATTTTTCGCCTTCATGTACAGACTAGATATTCCCATACGCCATGTAATGACTAGCTATTCTTCGCATATGTCATGTATGTACAGCACGCAGATACCAATCGTTGAGTCTGGAATTCATTACTTTTTCTGAGTCTCAAGAGCATGGATACCTAACCAATCCAAATTGCTCTGTCCCCTCAACAGTACTCAACAGTACCTAGGACCTCCAAACTCAATTTTAGACCCTAGAAGTATCTACCTCCTCATCTCCAACTTTCTCTATTCCCCATTTTCCGGACCAAACGTTGAGATTATGCAACAAGGGGAAAAGTTCCGGGTAGCGTTCAAAGGATCGGATGAGGGTCAGGTGCCGCTATCCTTTTCTTAGGAGACAATAGCATTGAAGCGGTTCAATCCGAGCCTCGTGAGCAGTGATGTCACTCATCGCGAAAAATTGAGTGGTATTGTTATTCAACAAGGATGTGATCTTAGCAGCTGCCAATGGACGAGCCTGGGGAAGGCATTCGCGAACTATATCCTGCATGGCCGTTAAGTGCATGGATAGTATTCCACCACGTTTGATATCAATGTCAATCGGGCTGCATCGCAACAGCCGGAAGGAGTAAACCGAACTAGCGCTGTTGTCAATATTCAGAAATGGCCCTGAAGTGGATTAGGGCAACATACTACTCAGCTGTCGATATGACCTGCCCCGCTTCTACCACGTCGCTCTTCCTGTATTTGCTTCTTCTGTAGGTTTCAGTGAGCAGTTTCCATTTTCGGTTCAGTACATCCCCGGATATCAACATCCTTGACACTTTGTCCTTATTATGCACTAATGCAGCTATATTGATCTTGTCACATGTGTCAGTTGCGGGTATGCAAATATTCTTCCGTTGTCACAACGGCCATAAAGAGCGGCAGAGCAGCACTTCGATTATAGTACCTTCTTCTGTGAAATACCGCAGTCACCCCTCATTAAATTCCATTGCTCGACTGAATCCGACTCTATCTCAGGGATTTGTTCCATTTGCCTTTATTTATTTTTTGTGTCATCACCAAAACCCAACCATGACAGAATCCACTGCACAAAACGAGCCCTCTACACACGAGCCCTCTACACGCGCTGATCAAAGTCAACGTCCCATCGAAGTAGATGTTAAGGCCACTGAGACAGATTCTGCTTATGGGAACGAGTTCTCAGTCTACAGTGCTTCTTTGACCTCATCTGTGCTGGACTACCGCCACGAGAATGGCAGGCGCTACCACGGTTACCGTGATGGCAGTTATCTCTTACCCAACGACGACAAAGAATCTGATCGCCTGGACATGATCCATGAGATGACACTAACAGTCATGGAGAGAAAACTGTTTCTTGCACCTATCGGACCATCACCACAGCGAGTTATTGACCTTGGCACTGGGACTGGAATATGGGCAATCGACTTTGCGGACCAGTACCCTTCTGCAGAGGTCATTGGTGTCGATCTGAGTCCTACTCAGCCATCCATGGTTCCACCAAATCTGAGGTTTCTCGTTGATGACATTGAGGCTGAATGGGCATACGAAAGTCCATTCGACTTTATCCACGCTCGTTATCTGGCTTATTCTATCAAGGATTTCAAGAAGTTGTTGAAGCAATGTTTTAAGTACACGAAGCCTGGAGGCTGGGTGGAATTTCAGGACTGGGACTCAATGATGAGGTCTGAAGATGGAAGCACTAAAGGCAGCCACATAGAGAGGTATTCTAAGGAAGTACTCTCTGCTTTTGAAAAAGCGGGGTATCCGACGCAACCCGGGCCGAATCTCGAGCAATGGTTCCGTGAAGCCGGGTTTGTGGACATCCATGTCCAGAAATATCGAATCCCAATGGGACCTTGGCCCAAGGATCCGTATTACAAAAAAATCGGGACTTGGAATTTGCTTCAGGGGGAGCCAGGATTCGAGTCAGCTGCTATAGCTGTGTTGACCAGATTTGAATCGTGGTCCCCTGAGGAAGTGAAAGTTCTCGCAGCGCAGGCTCTGAATGATGTCAAAAATCCTAAGATCCATCCACTCTATGACTATTACGTTGTGTATGGTCGGAAGCCAGAGTGAATGTGCCGCAAGGAAAATGCATCAAGATATCATCACTACACGACATCTCTCGTTCTCCATGTCAGTCTCTGGGAGTTCTCTCATATGCAACAAACAGCCATCAAGACGGAGGTGGAATCTGATCGATCTCTTGGAATTTTGGACCTATAATTAACCTATTCCTTCCTTTCACGTTTTGTTCCTGTGAGCTAAGAGTTCTAGCATTAGTCAAATTGGATCATCTTTCTCTTCTGCATTGACAGGCGTTGTATTCTAGTAAAAGAATTAATTGTAGTAGTCGTTTGTGTTGACGAAGAATTCGTGTTCAATTTTATAAAGTATTGTCTCCTTGTCTAATGACATATACATCGACCTTAGACTTTATTTCATATATTACGTATTATGTATCGATAATACCATCTTAAATTGTTTCACAATTTCAACCTCATGCTTCTCTTTAAAAATTTCTCTTGCTACTTTAATACTATCAGACTCAAGTAGTTGGTTCCAGGAATAAAACCATCTATCTCACTCGTGATGCTAGCAGGTCGAGCTATCTAGATAGGACAACGCGATTGAATGATTCTGAATCACATGGAGCCTTTCTTCACGATTTAGGTGATTTAGGGTTACAATGCGCCTATTTTCTCACCGTCTTCAGTCCTGTCACGCTTTTCTCTAGTTGTTAGTCAAGATACTCCGTGGATTAATTATTGTCTTTACCATTTTCTGTCAATATAAATTAGGTAGCGGCCATACCTAACCGCATCCAGGTACCAAGTACAAACAAATTCAAATTCAGTGAGAAGATCTAATAAAAAAGTTGAGTTTGTAATTAGGCACGACTCAGGTAAGGTAAGGAGTATTACCAGAATGCTCTATCCTGGCAGAAATATTAGACAATAATAAGCACTAAGAAATTTATTCAATAAAAACAAGGCAAGCTGTGCTGCTAGCAGGCAGTATGATATTATAGCGACGTTGTTTCGCTGCCTACGTAATTCTAGGGAGATCTAGGTATCCTGCTCGGGCAGCATACCTAACCTCGCTGCTTTAACCCATCATGTGAACTTATGACAGCCAGAGACAGCCTGGTGTAGTATGTACCTAGGTAGTTACTGATAGCACTATGCCAAGAACTAACAAGAGCATAGTACCTAGGTAATGTACCAGCCTGGTGCAGCTGAAGGAAGTTTGAGCTATAAGCAAGGATCCATGATTGGGCCATCAGCAAAAAGAGCAGCTTTTTTTTTGGTAAGAGGGGCCCCAGTTACAGTTTCCCTTGTATTCAAACTGAATCAAATGATCACGAATATAGGTGTGAATTGAGTGGATAGATGATTTGCAAAGTTTTTTTTTCGACAAGCCTTTAACGACTCGCTCCGCTCGTCTAGGCTTGAAGGGTAAAGAACACCTAGGCTTAGTAATGCCTATAAATGCTCCGGACCTTCGGCCCTCCGCAAGCCTGTAATATAGGCTTATATGTAAGCCTATAAGGGAGCCTATAAGGAAGCCTATAAGCAAATATAAAGCCTAGTATACCTAAATGCTCATACCTAAATGCTCCGGACCTTCGGCCCTCCGCACTGTAATATAAGTCTTAATAAAGCCTCTAGGGAAGCCTATAAAAGAGGCTTTATAAAGCCTATATAAGCTAATATAAAGCCTAATATGAAGCCCAGTACACCTAAATGCTTATACCTAAATGCTCCGGAACTTCGGCCCTCCGCATACCTGTAATGTAAGCCTATATAAAGCCTGTAGGGTGCCAGCATGAACCCTATAAGAGTGCCAGCGTAAGGCCTGCAGGGGTGCCAGTATAAAGCCTGTAGGGAAGCCTATAGGGGTTCCAGTATGAAGCCTCTAGGGGTGGTACCAGCATATTTGGGGTGTAGGGACTACAGGAAGCTTACATAAGAGACGCGACGCGTGACGCTTGCTTACGTAAGAATCGCGGGTTGTGTGCAAAAGTGTTATTTCCTTTACAATATAGGGGATTTGGAAATGCACAGGAAGATGTGAGCTTATCTTCATACATATCGTTTTATATTAGGAATCTTCACACCAATAGAATCTTCTCTACTTTCATGACTGGCATGCTAGATGTGTCACCGTCCCACTCGAAGACCTCCTTCCACTTCCATTCATAGCCGTTACTCGACACCACAATCGCAAATAATGGCCCATTCGACTCCCCCTGGTACCATCCGGGGCTATCTCGCCACCCCTCTCCAGTCTGTGTCTGAAATCGAGGTTGCAACAGTGCAATCCATTTCTCGTAATATGGGAGACGGGAGATGAACTGACGCGGGTCCCATGTCCCAAAATGCGACCCTGAGACTCGTGAGAAGAAAGAAATCTCCGGATCCATCGCTTGAATTTCGATTGTTTAAATTTAGCGATTAGCCAGAATCCCTCAAGACCTTTTCGCGTGATATTGGCGTAAGCTGTAGCATTCCCATCGTATGCAGGGAATCGTTGTGTTGTGGTGTCAAATGGGAGGTTCGGCCGTGTTGGTGCCCATCCCAGTCCTTTGTGGCCTTTGATTCGCGGTATACTGGACATTAGAAGTCCTGTATTTATAATCTGTCCCTCTTGAGCTCGCCAAAAGTCCACGGGCGTCCTGTGCACGACATCGCCAAGCAACAGACTCCAAATAACAATCTCGTCACCGGGCCTTGATGCATGGCGATGACTGAGTAGACAAGTTCCTTCCTGCACTGAGATGCGGCCTCTGATACGTTCTGCGTATAAATTCTCCCACCAAGTTCCTTTGGACCGCTCTGGGACATCGTCTGCCGATGAATAGGGGATGACATGCTGTGTCGCCAGTAAAAGGGCTATGAGATCGAGACGTCCATCATACAAGACGATCTTGAAACATTCTTGAAGAGATACTGTTTTTCTATCTCTGCAAAGAATGTAGACATTTCGTCGTCCACGCATCCCTTCAAGAAGAGTCCATGCTCTCACATCCCAGTCACAGACCATTAGCGTAGCAAGTATAGACTCCCGCAGAGTAAGTGTTAGATCCGAGATGTCAATGTCCATCAAGTCTCGATCGCAGATTAGTGTCGCCTTGCTGTCGGCAAAAATCCGATTGATATTTTCGATTGCCTCGTTGCGGAGGGCATAATCGTTTGGAATGCAAGGCGTGTCCATCCAATACGAGTCGCAGCCCAAGTCTTTGGCGATGGCGGTGTAGCGCTGGTGCAGACAACTGTTGAAGCCGTCCTCGGGTCTACCTCCTTGACCATGGCTCCAAACGTGTGATATGGCAAGAGTGTTTTTGACGCAGGACAGTGTCTGATATATTCGCTGGTCGTTCGTTCCAACGAGACGGCTGGGCCGCCTTCCACGCTCCTGTAAGAGATTTCGTCCCAACAAAGTCGGGCACATTCTCCTGTACAACCCAGGTCATGTGCAGACTGATCGTTTACCCTCATACCTTCAAACCTTTGACAGGCTTGAGGGCAACTGCCATTACAGGGCACGTTGACTCTGACTCCATCCTGCATGATCTGACTGCAGCGGGGCGGTTGATCCGCAAAGATTGCTTTGAACCGCTCATGGAAGATTCGGAAATCTTGCAAAATCGCAGCGCGATCCGAGCGTAGGCGCTCAAATGCCCAGGGACACATATGTTGTGTTCTCTGCTGACCGAATTGCGCGTCTGGATTGATTGCTCGGAGATTAAGCACCTTCTTCCGGCCCATTGCGGCTGCGCAATATTCGAAGTTATACCCACAGACTATATTTGCCTTTGCGATACACTTCTCGTGCGGTTGTTCGACTGTTGGTCGAGTGCTACAGTAAGGTCAATCCATCCGATGGACTGACATCCCCCAAAACCCTCCAGATTGCAATCAAATTGAACGACCTCGAACTGTTTGAACTGTTCCTGGAAAAATGGGGAGGTGCTGAAGAAACTGTTGGGAAGGATGGGACCGCATTGCACTTTGCTGCGTCCAATGGCCAGGTCAAAATGGTGGAATGTCTTTTAAGACGCTCCAAAGATCTGGTAGCGATCAATAAAGTTGCCGGAAAATGGGGTACAGCTCTTCAGGCTGCGATCAACGGGGACAAGAATCCATATGACACGGTCCAACTACTCCTTGACAACGGTGCTGACCCGAGTATTGTCGGTGGGTGGCATGGGACACCACTCAATGCTGCCGCGTTCAGGCACCAATACGATGTTGCGAAACTTCTTCTGCAACATTTACCATCCGATAAGATCGACCTTGTGGGAGGTCGGTACGGCACGCCAATACAAGCAGCGGTGTCTGGGTCTTGGAATGCTTCCGACTATCCTGATTATCGCGAGGTTCTTAGGATGGTTGATCTTCTGCTGGAGCATGACGCCTCTCCAATCCTCAGAGGCGGACGTTATGAGACAGCCTTACACGCCGCGGCTTCCCAGGCGCATATTGAGGTGGCCAAACGACTTCTGGAGCAACCAGGAGTTTCAATCGACTGGACAGACCAGATGGGGGCGACTCCCACTTCACATGGCGGCCATGCAGGGGGATTGGGAGATGGTCCAACTCCTTTCCAGCTCGACAAGTACAATCCACACTCGGGACAAAATCGGCCGCAATGCTCTTCATTTTGCCGCTGGAAGAGGATCTTCTTCCGTTCTCCGCCACATTTTAAATGACAAAGAGAACGTCGACTTGGTTAACGCCGTAGACATTGACGGATGGACCCCACTACACTGGGCGTGCCGCCAGTTGGAGAATGAGACTCTTCAAATAATCAAAGACCTCAAGGGGATGGGCGCCGATGCCTCGGCCAGGACTCTGGACAAGTGGACACCACGGCATGTAGCAGTATTTCATGACATATATGAGCCAGACATTCTCAAACTTCTGCCGAAAATGATGGATGACGATGACAGTCTGCCGTGTGGTCCGGGGAAATATATCGGGGCTCTTTGTGATTCCTGCGGTTGCGTGAGTTTTTTTTCTTTGTTGCAAACTTGCTGATCAGACAAGGATAATCGGGATTAGTTGACCTATGACAAACGATACAAGTGTAAGAGTGAAAACTGTGTCGAATTTGTCCTGTGCTTCAAGTATTACCGGCACGCGGCGAACATCCATTACGGAGAACATGAATTCGACGACAGTCCTGAGCCATATACTTGAGATAAGCACCCTCTGCAGTTGCGTCTCATGGCCCTCTGCCTCATGAGGAACGCATGCTAGCAGGAGGCACAATCTCCTTGCTGTCTCTTATTTGTGTACGGAGTACTTTGTATTCACCTATATCGAGCTTTAAAAAAAAAGGATTTCAAAACTCCCGAAATAGAATTCTTTAGCCTGACAGTCCCAGTATCTATGTTTCAGCCAGTCGCCCCAGGATCGTAGTCCCGGGAGGTTCATCAGTTTTGAAAGAGATTTCGCGACAAGAAATAGTAACCATCAATACACAGACAGTACAGAGAAAAGAGGGTTAGGAGAGCAGAAAGGAAGGGAGGAAGAGAGCATATGTAAAAAGTAACGAAAGGAGAAAAAAAACATAGGACAAAACGAGACCAGGGAAAAAAAGAGTGTAATGCAGACAATAAATACATATTGGTGAAAAGAGGGAAAAGAGTGTTAAGAATTGGAGAGGACAAGAAAGACATGCGTACTTCAAAAAGCTGGATCAGGCTTAGGCTTAGGGTAAGGAGTACTAGAATGCTCTATCCTAATAGAATAATGGACAATAAGCACTAATAATTTAATGGCATGAGATAAGCTGTGCTGCTGACAATACGATATACTAGATGCAGTATTTCGTGTTCTGACACTGCCAAGCATGAAATCCGAGCGGATCTCGTATAGATACTACTGTAGTAGTACAGAGTACTCTTAGCCTTGCTAGCTCACTGTAATTCTGTTTCTCGTGTTGGCGCAGTCGATTCGCTGCCTAATAATTCTGGGTTGATCTACCTAGGTGCAGTACAGTACTTTTTTTTTTTGGCAATTTCTGCTTAGTCAGGGTCTTCGATAACTAGTTGAACCAAGTCCATCAATAAATGGATATTTTGGTTAAGATCGACGTGGATATTTTTGTTCTTCAACAGTAGTTTCCCGATGGGTAATGATTATGATATCATGGTCGTCTGATAAGCTTACCAAGGCAGCGAGTGAGAATTTCGATCAAGTTAGTACTCCGTAGTTCTGTATGGACCGTCCTAAACCCACAGCTCAGCTGGCATCAGTTCGTGATATTAGGTGTGTGGAGCAATAAATTAATCGTAGAGTGGCTGGGAAACAGTATCGAGAAGGCTCAATCAAGGCATCAGGATTTTTTACCACAGCCACAGACCGCCAAGAGAAAAAAACAAGAATAGCAACAAACCGACAGGCCCGCCGGAGCAACTGGCAGATGCACACCGCGTGTCCTCCACTCAGCCACAGTCGAGTGGATTTGCTTTTCCGTGCGTTTCTTCGCATTGCGCGGCTTGTCCCACTCTGGCATTAGTTTGTGGCAGGGCTGGGATTGAGATCGCTCGTGCCGCATTTCATTTATTAATCCTTGCACGCCGTCCCGGTTGCGTGGTTTTCTTCCCTTGCGTCCTGTCATTATTTATTTACTTCTCCCTCAGTCCTATTCCCTCCCTTCTCCTGTTCCGTCCCATCTCATCTCAACACGACGCCGTCTCGTCTCACCACCGATAAACTAACACGGAACTGCCAAGATGGGCAAAGCGGGCCGCATTGCGTGTATCTTCACTCCGTACGTGCTCTCCGTCGGAGCTCTCATCTGCATCTTGCTCGTCGGCCTGGGCTCGACCAACGCCCACTCGAGCACCCTCAATAACCTGTATTTCTTCCGGGTGAGTTCTGCATGGTATCTTGATTTCAGAGCAGTCACTGACGGCGATTGCAGGCCGATCTCTCCAACCTGACCAGCACGTCCGATGGATCCGTCGCCAGCCAACTCGTCCACCTCGCCGGCCAAGCCACGGGCGGGTCGGACCAGCAGCTCGCCAACGCCCTGGAGCAGGCGGAGAAGGCCCTCAATCTGTACGACTTCTACGACATTGGGCTGTGGAACTACTGCTCGGGGAACAAGACGGCGGACGGCGACTACCAGGTCACCTACTGCGCGCCCCCCCAGGCCGAATTCTGGTTTAACCCGGTCGAGGTGTGGAAGCTGAACAACACGGGCGTCGAGAACCTCCTGCCGGACAACCTGCAAAAGGGCCTCGACACGTACAAGAGCGTATCCAAGTGGATGTTCATCGCCTACGCCGTGGCCTTTATTTCGACGATCGTGGAGCTCGTTGTGGGTCTGACGGCCATCTGCAGCCGGCTGGGCAGCTTGATCACCAGTTTTGTCTCGGGAGTACGTCTTGAATCTTACGACTACGGAGAAGCGTCGTGCTAACAGGTTGCAGGTCTCGCTTCTTTTCACCATCGCGGCGTCCGTGACCGCGACGGCGCTCTTCACCGTGCTCACGGGCACTTTCAACTCGGCTCTGAAGCAGTACGGCGTCCACGGAAGCATGGGCAGCCACATCTACGTGGTGACCTGGATCGCCGTCGCCTTTTCGATCGGGTCCAGTCTGTTCTGGCTGCTGAGCTCGTGCTGCTGCTCCGGCCGGTCTCCCTACCACGGAGACCGCTACGGGCGCCGGGTGACGGCCGAGAAGGCGCCGTACACGTACGAGCGGGTGAGCAACCCGTACACGGGGGCAAGCCCGGCGCCGGCATACCACCCGGGCAACCCGGTGCCGATGCAGGACTTCCGGCAGCATGCGTACGAGCCGTTCCGACACGTTTGATATGATGTGATATGATATGAGATCTACGCCATTTGTCTCTTCCGTTTCGGGTGTGTTATGTATTATATTTTCTGCGATGTTCGCTATCTTTTCAATCATTTCATGGGCTTGCGTGGTATTTTGCGGTTTTTTTCATTGGACGGACTGCATGATCTTGATGACACGAAATAGAAGGCCTGCCGTCGTGGCAGGGAGGAAAGGATCTTGGGAGGTTGTTCATTCATGTACTGTACATATCGATACGATACCCGCGCAGAATCTAGGGATTAGAATATGAATGTCTTTGGAATAAACGATCTATGAAATGAGACTCACTCATGAATTACCACAAGTTGAACTCGATCAGTAGTCGAATTAGTTCTGTACGAGCCTTGTATACGAACTACACCTTACAATTCAGCCCATCACGTGGCAGGGCTTAGCAGCACAGCCTCGAGGCTTGGCATCGCCTTATCTGTCACGTGCGAGCATCGTTACAGCCATTACCCCGTGTCTATCTCTATGCATGCATACTCCGTATCGAGAGAAATTTTGATCTTATTATTCGTCAGTTGCTGGACAGGATTCAGACTGGAGCAGAAAACAGGCTGAAATAAGCATAATTCGACAAAAGGTCGTGGCCGTTCCAAGGTTCTGTTGCAACCCAAATCTCCCCGACTAACGGTACAATACGTGACGCGGTAGTGTGCTGTGCTGTGCTTCAGCCTTGCTCGTGTTGTTAGTTCTGTTGGTCTGTTGGATTGTTGGATAATGATTGGACCTTTGCGATCGTATTCGCGATCTGCACTGCCTATCGTGGCCGTGCTATCCAACGGCGATCCCCCCTGGGCGCGCGGCGTGGCGACGGGAGCTGACGACGCCGCCCCTCCTAGGCGCCGCTAGCAACGCCGGCAGCCGCAGACCTGCTCGCTAACTCCAGACGGAGCGCAACGGCCTCCAATCGCCATGCTCGTGTCCATCTCAGTATGGAGCCAGCTCAGTGGCCCCCATGCGTGAACTCAATCAGAGCCGCACGTCCTGGACGTCACGCGCGTACGGGGATGCTGTCGCAGCGCCTTATAAGGCCCGACTCCGGCCTGCGCTGAGCAGACCCTGGGGTCATCCCGATCTCTCCGAGCAACCTGCAACATGGCAGCCCTGTCGGTGCGGAAATGCGTTGCCTCTCTCCTCGGCCTCCTGGCCGTCCTGGACTCGCAGGCGAGTGCTGAGGCCGACTCGCCCAAGGTCGTCAAGATGGACTTGTCCCGGAGCCCCGCCACCAGCAGCAGCAACGTCGCCGGCCGACGGCTGGCCAGGCGCAACAGCATCACCGTCCCTGTCATGAACGCCGTCAGCCAGGGTCTCTACTTCGTCAACGCCACCGTGGGCACCCCGCCGCAGACCGTCCAGCTGCAGATCGACACCGGCAGCAGCGACATCTGGTTCTTTGGGCCCGATTCGTGCGACGAGAGCACGTCTCCGTGTCTGGGAGGAGTCTGTAGGTTGCGCCTTTCCTCTGCCCTTTTCGACCGTCGTCTAACTCTCGTCCAGTTGACCCGTCGGATTCGTCCTCGGTCAAGATCATCGGGAAAGACGACTTCCAGATCAAGTATGGAACCCCGGACTCGGGCGTCGTGGGCGACTACATCACCGATGACTTCAGCATCGGAGGCGTCACGATCAAGAACCTGACCATGGCCGTCGCCACCGACGCCAAAGTCGTCCCGACCGGCATCATGGGCATCGGCTTCGACACGGATGAGTCCATCGTCGTCGAGGACCACTCGAAACCGTACCCCAACATCGTCGACGTGATGGTCGAGCAGGGCCTGATCAGCACCCGCGCGTACAGCCTGTGGCTGAACGATCTGGACTCCCGCTCGGGCAGCATCCTCTTTGGCGGATACGACACGTCCAAATTCACCGGCAAACTGCTGACGCTGCCGATCCAGCCCGACGCCCAAACGGGCAACATTTCCACCATGACCGTTGCGTGGACCTCGCTGTCGGTGACCAACACCACCACCGGGAAGAGCCAGACGCTCTCGTCGGACAGCCTTCCGGCGCCCGCCCTGCTGGACTCCGGCACCACCGCCACCATGCTGCCGCCGGACCTGTACGAGCAGCTGGCGCAGTTCTTCGGCGCCATCCAGGATCCCAGCTCCGACCAGGCCCTGGTGCAGTGCGACCTGCTGCAGACGGCCGACGGGACGCTGGACTTTGAGTTTGGCGGCACGGGCGGACCGGTCATCAAGGTGCCTTTTTCCGAGTTCGCCATCCCGCTGGGAGTCGACACTTGGGGCCTGTGTCAGCTGGGCCTCATGCCGGCGACGGATCCCAACCTGGGCGTGATCCTGGGCGACACGTTCCTGCGGTCGGCCTATGTCGTGTACGACCTGGACAACAAGCAGATTTCGCTGGCGCAGACGGTCTTCAACACGACGGAGAGCAACGTGGTGGAGATCAAGCAGAGCAGCAGCGGCAGCGCGGTCGGCAGCATGGTGACCGGCGTGACCGTGACGCAGACGGCCACGGGGCTGCAGGCGCCGGGGATCGCGACGGCGACGGGTACGGTGCGGTATACGGGGACGGCGCTGGCGACGAGCACGGTCTCTCCGTCGTCGTCGTCGTCGTCGTCCAAGAGCGGTGCTGCAGGGACAGTTCGGGGGACCTTTGCCAGTGCGGTGGTGGGGCTGTTGTCGATGATCGTGGCGCTGTATTGATAAGGTATAGAGAAGATATATCTTCGAGTTTGGTATATAGATTGGATATTCCGGTATAGTATATGGATGGATTATGGCTGATACCATTGTATATATTGTTACGATAAGCATGGATTGAGAGATGTTTTTGACTTTTTTTTTGATTTTTGACTTTTTTTTTTCAGTTTCTCTGCGGAGCTAGAGAGACCGGACTGGACTTGATTTGACTTGACCTGGACAATGGGATAGAGTATGGTATATATATAGCAAAGATTATCCTTCGCTGTTCTTCTGCCTTTGTCTTATTTCAGATTAAAAATAGTAGACTAAAAGGGAAGGTAGAAGTAACGTGACTTGACTCAGCTGTAAGAATGAGTAGACCACGTGCAATGCAGGTCTCTCTTTCCCTATTTTGCATTCTACTCGACGTATCTTAGTTATTCCTCCATATCTCACTCAACAAGTGGGAACCCACTACTACTGCGTCAGTCTACATGGTCACATCCTCCATATAGTAGGCGAGATCGCCCTGTCCTCCCCTCTCGCCGACTGTCTGGCCGTTCCCCAGGCAGCGGAAGCGGTTGAGCGAGCGGTAGCGGATGTTGAAGTGCTCGCCGCCGATGCGCTCGAGGCATTCCTTGAAGTGCAGGAGCGACCCGGGATACACGCCCGTGACCTGCCCGGTGCGCTTGCCGTTCTTGTACCAGCTGCGGCAGTCATCTGCCCACACCGTCCGCTTGAGGAACTCCTGCGCCCACACGTTGTAGTCGTCGACAGCCTCTTTCTTGACGTCGATCGACGCAATGTCCTCCGTCGCCATCTTGCCCGCCCACCGCAGGATGTAGTCGCACGTGAACGACACCTGCGTCAGCACCGACCCGTGCGAGATGGGGCAGTTGGGCCCGTTGAACATGAAGTAGTTGGGCATGCCGTCCACCTGCACCGCGAAGAACGCCTCTGGGTTGTCCTTCCACCGCTCGTCCAACACCGCCCCGTCCCGGCCCACCTGTTTCCACGGCGGGATGAACGATGTGTCGAAGCCCGTCGCGCAGACGATCAGGTCGAATCCCTCCTCCGCCCCATCCGCCGTTCGGATGCCCGTGGCCGTGATCCGCTCGATCGGCTCCCAGCACATGCGCGCGTTGGGCTGGTGGAACGCCTCCAGATAGCCGTCCCCGGGCGTCAGACGGCGGCAGCCAGGCCGGAATTCGGGGATCATTCTCTTTGCGATCGAAGCGTCCGGGATGCCCTTCATCTGCTCCTCCATCTGCTGCTTGGAGAGCGCTTGGAGGAGGTCCTGGAGAGGATTGTCGCGCAGCATGCCATAGAAAAAGCCGTTGATGCTGAAATGGACAGTTAGTACATGTCACTATGCTCCAGTGATCGTCCCGCTCACCTGGCTTCCAGCTCTCTGCGCACCGCGAAGAGGGCCTTTGGATCCTCCCCGGAACCGCCTTCGCTCCTCCTCCGTATAGGCAAAGTTGCTGCCGTCCTTGGTTTTGTCGGCGCAGAAGTTCATCGAGATCCACGTCGGGTTGCGGACGTAGTTGACCAGCTTCGACACTTTGGGCTGCATTGCCGCAACGCACTGAATGCCGGAGGATCCATTTCCAATGACAGCGACACGCTTGTTGGTCCAGTCATAGGATTCATCCCTGTTGAATTAGCCATGTCCTAGTTCTCAGGCGGATAACGTACCAGCAGGCTGTATGGACCAGTTTGCCCTTGAATTCCCAGAGGCCGTTGATCTCAGGCCAGGTCCACTTGCTGCATTGCATATGTAAGCCACTACCTGGACGATGAATGAGGAGAGCCTACTTCAGAAACCCGGTCGCATTCACCAGGATCTCGGCCTCATCTTCTTTGATGAGCCCGTTTTGGTCGATCTTCAGCCTCCATTTACTTGCATCTTCGTCCCAGATGGCTTCCATCACCCGCGAGTTGAACTGGACGCGGTCGTTCAGATTCCACTTGCGGACCGTTCGCTGCATATATGCCCGGATCTCGGGGCCGGAGGCGTAAAAGTGCGACCAGTCGGGGTTTCCTTCGAAGAGGAACGTATATGCGTCTGCAGGATGAGTATCTATCAACTCTTATCGGTGAAATATACTTACGAGCTGGAACATCACTGTGGAAGTTAGTATGATGGGCAGATACCATTGTAGGTTTGACTTACCACGCAACGCCAGGGTACCGGTTTTCATACCAAGTGCCCCCAATCTCCGGATTCTTCTCATAGATGACCAAGTCGATCACGTCCTCCAGCTTTAGCTCGTGCTTGACCTTGTGAGCCAGGGTCAGACCCGAGTAGCCGGCACCCACGCAGATAATCTTGAGCTTTCAGCGAGAAAAAGCCGATTCTTCCTTGATGGACACCCAGTTGGGAGGAGTCTTGCCCTCTGCCACGAGGCCGGCTGGAGACAGATGCACTCCGTTCGGGGGTATCTTTGTGCGCATGCATGATGATGGGGAGGAGGAGGAAAAACAAGCAAGTCACTCGGGTCTACTCAGTCTACTCAGGTCTACTCAGCAGGCCGAGATATAAATACGACAGCTCCATCCCTTAAGGATAACCCTTAGGGATAACGGCTGTGGATTCGGCAGTTAGGTAGTTACTTCGGGCAGCGCCCTACATAACCAGCCAGCCAAAGATAAGCCATGTAAGACCACCGGACTAGCCACCGTCGAAGAAGGGTGGGTGAGTTTCCACTGTCAGTCGCCACTCCGCAACACACCGTTGGGGTCTCCGCATCGACTGACAGGCATGCTAGAACAGGAAAACCGGGTTCCCCTCATGCCATTCCCATCAGGGATGCGGTAAGGACGTTAATCTTCCCCGAGGAGTTTGTCTTAATAGTCGCCAACTATTAGTTCCAGCCGCCTGAATATTCTACTGTGGATTCCGATCTTCATAACCTTATCGGATTTCAGGCAAGTCCAATTAAGCTTGGAGCGGTCCATCCGTGCCGTCCCCAAAATGGGGAATCCGTTATTTAGCGTGTTGCTAAGCTTCAAGCTTCTTCCTAGTTACCCTACGTGAAGACGATTTTCATGAAGACCCGTTTTTGACGTCTGGACCGGCAGCTATCAGCGTGCCGATCCTGGCGCCTGAACCGTTAACTCGGCGACTACTGCGGCATCCGTCTCCACTGTTGCAGAAGAGGCGTAATGTTAATGACTGTGCCGCACGTCTGGACGGTGGGCTATTACCTACGGAGTATTTACGGGGTACTCCGTACGGATGGAGGAGTACTGTCAACCTGGCCAGCTATTATTCACACTAGGGGTTCACTAGATAACCTAAGTTTTTCTTTTGTGCCCCAGTCTGTTTGACAAGTACTTACTATAGAAGGACAACGTGTAGGTATATCTTCCTGACTGCTCCACGTTCAACATCAGCCGTCTAGACCTAGTATAAGAAAGACTGCAGTCCCTACGTTACGACGGAATACGCCATGCTATGCCGCATTGACGTCAGTCTATTAGCTTCTCTAGGCAGACCGAGTACTCCTTACCAGGCACGTCCCTAGAAAGCACTTTTGTCGGATGCTATGTGACTAGGATTTTGTTTCCAGCTTTCTGCCTGCTCCTGGGTCTGTCCTCCGCCTCCTCGCATATACCCCATATGATGTCGCACTACCTGCCTGGCTGAGACGGCGACGGCGATCGACAGGTCTAAGCCAACAAGGCCTTTATTCCGGGTTTCTGTATGTAGTCAAGTCAGGTCAAGCCACCGCGGGAGGTGTACAGTACATATTGTACTGACTAACCTCGTACCTGAGGTTGTTACCGCTATACGAAGGGGTTACTATAATAATATCTTCATTATACACGGCTCGTGAAGGAGTTCCCCGAGTCTCCTGAAAGAAGGATGAATCGTCAACCCCATGGCTTTTTTAGGGTACGGTGTGAATGACCATCCCTGGTCAGTCCCTGGTCTTAGACCTTAGGGATCTATTAGACCGAGTACGGAGTAGCAGACCTGGTGACACCGCTAATTATATCGTCCGGCAGAAATACTCCTCCCAGGCTGACGGTCAGACCAGCACTTATGTCTGCAGTATTATAGCTAATTAACCACTTGAAGATGGGTTTCTAAACTGCATAGTAATTAGTGTTTTGATGGATGCATGTGCTGTACTTGCTCTCTGGAGGATGTATATATCTAAGGGATATATTCGATATATTCTGCAGGTTTTACTGCTTCTTCGCCTCTCTACAAAGTTGTACGATTCTCTCATTTAGCTGGGGAGAGAGTGGGTGAGGAAACGAACGCGCAATTGACCAAGTCGTCAGTCCTTCCCCTTCTCAATCTTTCTTCCTTCCTTCCTTGCCATTTTTCGTTCGCTTTGATTGACAATTGACAGGCTGAATCTCTGAGGGGTTGTCTTTTTTTTTTATTCACTATATTATTCCCCTGACTATGAAGTACTATTACTTCTTCTTCAGAGAGTTGCGTCTAAGTTGTATATATGCACATATGTATATGATACTGGTTTTCTTGTCTAATTATGGTCTTTAGGAGATATTTATCTTTGCTGTTAATATTAACAGTACTTAAGTAAATACTTGTGTATCTTTTTTTTTCTTTCGACTTGTTTGTTAGATGGTAAGCTATGGTCGCTGTATATAAGAGGTTGTTTTGTTTGTGTGGATACAGTAGATAAATTGAGGTCCATTGCTATTATACTCGGAGACACATGTTATCTCACTGCTGCTAGTACGTAAGTATATGTAGCGAAGGTTAATCTTAATTCACTTCATCCCGTCAACCCTAATAACCAATCTAGTAAAAGTAATTGACGATCGAGAATACAATTGATCAAGATTCGACGGATATTGTCTTGCTTTTAAGTTATGCTATGTTCAACGAATGAATGTACAGTCAATAAGAAATGAAGAAGTGATAACTTCTGAAATGCTTGTAATCCTCATTCGAGGTACGGCTTCAGCAACGGCAGAACCTGCTCATACGCAATCCCACTAGGCGGCTCCATGGAGAAGATATAGTCTCCCCACCACGGCCCAGCCGCCCACCAGATAGCACCGGTCCAGACATCAGTATTGTTGGCGAGATAGTCGAGCATGCCGGTGACGGCCGTCTCGCACACGCTGTTGGCGCCGCCAGCGTACTCGCCCAGGATCGCCTTCTTGCCGTTCTGCTTCAGCCAGGCCGTCGCCGACTCGACGCGGTCCTGCCCGATGGTCGAGTTGACGCACTGGTCCGACGTGCCCGACCCGTCCGAGTCCAGGTACTGGTGCATCTCGTACACGATCTTGTTCTGCGGGTCCGTCAGGTTCGCCATCGCGTCGTTGACCTGCGTCCATGTCCAGGCCCCGGTCCACGAGTTGCCCTCGACGAAGATGTACTGTGATGTGGCGCCCGCGGCGCGGATGCCGTCGATGGCGGCCTGGTTGAGCTGGACGACAAGGCTTTCGTCCATGTCGTGGTATTCGTTGTCTGTCGTCAGTCGTTAGCTGTATCCATTTCATTTCAGATAGGTTTCTACGCACTCGTGTCGAAAATGACATTGTCATTATCCGCAAAGTTGGACGCAATAGTGTGCCAGAAAGTCTGGAAGTCAGACGGCGAGGAGATGATATTGTTGTAGCTGAGTCAGTCGTCAGCGAAAGCACCTGTCCAGTAACAGAACTTGACAGCCATACTATCGCCCGAAGTTATGCGGGTCAATCACTGCCGACGCGCCATGGCTGGTAATGTAGTTGATAACCTGGCTGTAGCCCTGGAAATACGCCGAATCCACCGGCCCCGTCATCTGGTTGGGCACCATGCGCTCCATCAGGAACGGCACGCGGAAGATGTTCATGCCCTGGTCGATGAGGATCTGGATGGCGCTCGTGTTGGGGAAGGTGTAGTCGGTGCCCTGGCAGCATTAGACATGGAATATGGACTATGTATATTGCATATTGTAGAGGTTGACTTACCTCCACGCCAGGGATGTTGTTGTTCCCAAACTCTGCGCCAGACTCGTTGGATCCGAACCCTGGGCATATACATATCAGTATGATTTATCTCACGGAGGAGGTTGTTTGTACACACATTGAAACGGAGACGCCCGCTTCTTGATGCCCTTCTCCTTGACTGGAGCGGCGAGGGCGCCCCCTGCGGCCGTCAGACCGCACACGACCCTGCTGAACTTCATTGTGACGGTAGTCGAGGGAATAAACAGCAGAAGACAGTTGTTGATCGAGAGTCTGTCAGAATCAGCAGACTGTCTGGATCATCAGACAGAAGAGGGTATTTATATCCGTGACACTCACTTAAGATAGAGTGTCTAGACCAGAGAAGACTACCTAAGTTAGTTAGGGTTAGTCAGGGTTAGGCTTAATTAAACATGAAACAATTACTCCTACTAATTAATGAGCGGCACTCCGCGGGCGGGGAGGAGCCAGGGGCAAGTCTGCACTCGGCAGTCCGCCTCTGCAGTGCATGCAGATCAATTGCGTTTCTTTTTCTTGCGGGGTAAATAAATAATTAGTTTAGTACGGAGGACTCTGTTTCGATTGCTTGGACCAATTCTTAGCAGCACTCTATCCTAGGTTACAACTGCACATGCTAATACTGGCGAGAGCACTAGCGGAGTCTCGGACTTTTGACGATGAGACGAGACGAATTGATCGATCCCTTTCTATGCATCATGCATGTACTGTATGCATTTATTTTCTGATCTGTAGGAGTGCATACGTTCTGCAGTGTAGTATTTTATTGTACTGTACTCTTTCTTGCGAGCACCAATCACCGAAAGAAATTATCCTTATCCCACAGAGGGCATTATACTATTCGTGATATGCTATGTTCATTATATGAATACATCTGCAGGTTAGCAAGCTGAGTCAATTAGGTAAGTAGCAGGGGTGTTCATACCAGATAATTATCGTAGATGACGCATACACTATCGTCAACATATTAATTGGATTGGCCTTGGTCACAGTTTCCTCGAACCACAATTCATTTTAGTTATAAAGTTAATTCTCGAAACGAGATTAGTAGTTAGTATATTTTACTTTATAATCTGGCTGTCTTACCTAAACTGATTCTTTGATTCGATCCTTGACTGCCTCAGAATCGGCCATATTGACATACCTAGATTCATACCTACTAATAAAGCAAACAGGATGTAACTCGCCTCGTAATTAGAATTAGAAGGTTTATAACCCAGCCATGGCCCAATACATAAACTGGGTATGCTATGGCGGGGGAATCCCGACGTTCCGCGGGGTTGCAATGCTAGTTGCTGTGACACTTCATGTCGACTGAAAATGCAGTGTGTGATAATGATAGCATGCAGAGCTTTATACTTTTTTTTTCGTTCTATTTCATTTCATTCTTTGTTAATTAAAGTCCAATAACTGGAATTAATTTGATTGAATACCTGAAATCTCCTCGCAGAGGATACATACTGTATATCTGTATGCCGCATCTGCAGACTTTCCCCGCACAAACCCCACATTCGCTTTCTCCTCTGCAGATAAGGAATTAATAATTAATAGTTAATAGTTTAGTGATCATGGATTTCGGATTATTACTACTTCCTCTTTTTCCCGGCTTGTAGATGGATTGTCATGCACTTTGTTTACGATATACTCTTACTGTACTGTAGTCATGAGTGCAGTTGTATCATTCCCAATTTCATCTATAATGACATTTGCTAACATTATTATCCAAGTATAGACTGTAGAGTACCAGTATCAACCTCCTCCCCGATGAAATGGACAGCATGTGGGGCCTGAATGATCCTGCCTATGTATATATGTATACTAGGGTAGAGTACATATGCAGAGTATCCTGCATATTCATTATTGTACTCAGATCACTGTCTACTCAGCATGTCCCTAGTCCAGCTGGATCCATCCCTGCTTAGCACCCTGCACGACCGCGTCGTCGTCCTGACCGGCGGCGCCATTGGCATTGGGCGGTCGGCCGTGGGGCAGTTTCACGGTAAACACCCTCCCAGCAAGACAAAATTAATTATACTATACTAATAATACTGCTTTTTGCAGCCGCCGGCGCCAAAATCGTCTTTGGCGACATCCAAGACGAGCCCGGCCAGTCGCTCGAATCACAACTCGGCCGGGACAGGGTCCGCTATGTCCACTGCGACACGACCTTGTATGCGGACCAGCTGCGGCTGTTCGAAACCGCGGAGAAAGAATTCGGCCGCGTCAACGTCGTCGTCGCTAATGCCGCTATCGCTATCCACAAGGATCCGTTTCTGCCCGAGGCAGACATCACCGTCGAGCCGCCCACGGCTGAGATAGACGTCAATCTCAAGGGCGCGCTGTTCACGGCGCGTATTGGCATGCACTACTTGCGCAAGAACAAGAGTTCTGAGGAGGGCCCCGGGGGCGATCTGATCCTCGTCAGCAGCATCGCCGGATTCAAAGAGAGCAGCGGCCTCGTCACCTACACAGCCAGCAAGCACGGCGTACTGGGCATCCTGCGCGGCCTGCGCGTGTCGGCACTGAAAGAGAACATCCGCATCAACGCCATCTGCCCGTGGATGACCAAGACGCGCATGGTCCGCGGCATCGAGCAGGGCTGGTACGAGAAGAACCTCCCCACCAACGAGCCTGCCGACGTCGCGCGCGCAATCGTCCTCTGCGCGACGGCCAACCGCGGAACGACAACCTCGCATCCGGGCGCCAAGCTGCCTTTTGCGGGCAAGATCCTCTGGATTGGAGGCGGGAAGGCGTATGAGATTGAGGATCGGTTGCAGGAGTTGGAGCCGGAGTGGTTGGGGAGGGAGAATAGTGCGGTGTTGGCCAGGGGACAGGCGTTTCTGGAGGCGGAGGGGACGAGTTGGGATGTTGATAAGCAGAAAAAGTGATAGCTTTACGAAGTACAGTGTTTGGAGAGAAATGTATATACATACATAGAAATATGCTGACAGGACATTGATATACATAGTTATTGTGCAGTTAGGGCAATAGCGAAATCATATCCATGACCCGGACTAGACCATGTAGTCAGTCAAGTATTTATTATCTGGCAGGAGATTGTTCGTTGAATTTCATCAATCTAGTAACAGAAACAGTATGTACATACATAGAGTCTAGTCTGTTTATGCGTTCACTAGGGAAGGGGAGGGTTCAGTAAATTGTTTGTATAAGAGGCAGGCGAGGTTGATGACTTGGAATTTATTTGGTTGATTTTATTATCAGCTCATTTAAAATGTGTCTTTTTTTAGTTTATTTCTCATAAACAGACATTCATCTACCTCCGTTTTGTTATAGTCTAGTCTAGTCGATCTACATCCACCATCTCCATCCCCACACCACATACCAACAGACCCATATCCGCATCCGTATCCGTCCTATGGAGAATGTCCATGGACGATATATCCGCCACAGGACTGTATCGGTCCAGTCGCTGCACAATGCGCACTGCCTCGACGTCGTTTGCCTCTGCCTTCTCTGCGTCGACGCTGATCGACCAGATTTTGATCCGGTGGTCGTTCCCGGATGAGGCGAGGAGGATTTCTGTTGACGATTGACCTTGTATTGCTGGCTGCAATCGCAGCGTTTTGATGGTCGTTATGGCCGAGGCGTGGGCGTCGGGAATCGAAATGGTGCGGATGGAAGGGCCGTCGTGTACCATTCTTAATACTGAGATAGACAGCGCGTTGTCGTCGCCACCGCCCACGAATACCGCGCAATTCTCGGCTATCTTCATCATCTCTAGCGATTTGATGCTGCTAGAATGGATCGTATGGTGGCTCTGCCAGGATATCGTCTCCGCAGTTGCTGTCTCAGGGCTGAATGTGGGTTTGATGGCCATGCTGCCGTCCTCCCGACTTTCGAAGCCATCGAGTACACTGTCCAAACACCATATCGCAAGCTGGCCATCTGTCGCACAGGTTATGAGATATGTCGAGGAATTCAATGTCAAGAAGCGAGCTTGCGTGGGACAGTTGGTCGTGTAGGTACCCCTTCCAAGCAGGTAAAAGGTCTGCGAAGTAGCAGACGAGGAGTAGAAGAACACCTAAAGAATCTCAATCAGCTCACTGTACAGAACAGTACCTATGTAATAGCATACCTTCACCGTCGAATTCGAATAGGCAAGACACAGCAAAAAGCAGTCATCCGGCGCCTCGACTTCCAACACATCGAAACTGGTCACCCGGAGATCCGACTTGGGGTCGTCTTTCGGACTGGACGCCTCCAGCACGGCTGCGGTGCCAAACACCGGGATGGTGCTCACTCGCCACACGAAGAATTCCTCGAAGCCCCCACTCGTGAACAGGAACCGGCCGTCTCGCGACCAGGTCACCTGCTGCAGACCGGTGCGATGCTTGTTCAGAACGCGCGTGCACCGAAACGATCCCCACGGCGCGTCGTTGCTTGCCTTTATAGTAGGTGTGAAGATCCGCACCGTGGTGTCTTCTGCACCGGTAGCAATCAGAGGACCTCCCGTCCCATCCACGGCGTTGGCGATTGCCATGTCTTTGATTTCTCGTCCGTGACCGCCAGCGCGCAGCGGGCGATGAGAGGCGGACTGCGTCACGATGGCATGGAAAGAAGCGGCCTGGTTCCAGATGTACACACCTACTCCTCCAAACACGTCTGCATAGGGGTAGAATGCCCAGTTTCGATGCGCACCACCGCAATCAAACGACATCAACTCCGTCTGCGTGGATTCGTTCCACAGAATAAAGTAATTGCACCGGTAGCCGTAGAGCATGAGATCATTTGTCGACGCGTCAAAGTATGCTCCCTCGATGTTCGGACTGAACGACGAAGAGGACCGGTGCACGGTTCGAAGCCGCACGGAACCTTCTTCGGTGCGCTCCAGGACGTGGACGCAGTAGTTGGCGTCTCGCCCACAGGTCAACAGATATTCCGCGGCTGGTCCTTCAGCCTCATCAACTGGGATTCGAAGTATGCAAGTGACCGCGCTCTCCCCATGAACGCGACGTATGCACCACAGCGGATGCAGAACTTCGCCCCTGACTCCAACGTCATATATGGCAAGCGCGCCCACCTTTGATCCCATCATCAAGTACTGGCCACCACAGACAGCTGCCACGCGCGATACTTGGAACGTACGCGGAAGAACGAGCTTGTTCTGCTCCACCTGTGGTGCCGCTGCGGTGATATCTTTGACGATTAAGAGGTCGGCCAAATCGAAGGTAGGATACGTAACAAGGAAGCCACAAGCATCCGCCCCCTGATCAAAGATGAAGAGTCCCATTGGTCTTGTTTCATGGGCGAGATCGACCAGACTTCTCGTGCGGTGATTATACAGCCGGATGAGACCGTTGCCATTACCGATTACTGCCAGACCCCGACTCGGCAGGGTGGACATGAGAGCCATTGAACGGAGATGGTCATCGCCCTCTAGTAATGTTTCCCAGCAGATGTGCGGCTTATTTTCGTTCGGGTCAAGAGAACGGGCATCAATCCACCCAAGCTGCAGCGCACCAGCCAGAGAGCTTGTAATGAAACAGTCCGGCGCAACAAAGGCGAACCCTCTCAGTTTGGCGTCAGTTTGGACTTGCGAGTTGGCGGCTTTCATTAAAACTCTCGTGCTGTAACCAGACTGAAGAGAGATATCCATCGGCGAGGCCAGTTGAAAGGCCCTTACAGCGCCATCTGCGCCGCCGGTATATATCACAGGCGATGTAGTCCCGCCCTCTAATATGGTAAGAGACCATATGTGCTTGCCAGCATGTTGGTGCAGAGTTGACACGTTCCGCAGCCGAAATCTGGTCGCGTCGGATGCCATCACATCCCATTCTAGCGTCCACAACTGACAGGTAGCGTCCTCGCCCCTCGAGACGAGATTCAGCTGCTTCGGCTGCCCTGCCACCGGTGCCAAAAAGTGGACTCCCCATATCCGGGCAGTATGACCCCATTCCTTTGTCAGGCACGTTTCTGATCCGAGTGTCGGCCCATCGGCAGCAGTCCTACCGAATCCAGTGCTTCGAAGCTCAAACCCGTCAGTGGAGTAGGCAGACGGGTCCGTTGGGGAAGCGTGGCAGCAGTTGGAAATATCCCATATCCGGATGGTCCTATCGTCGCTACAGCTTGCAAGAAGCCGGCCTGGTTTTCCTTCCCTCAGGCACGGAATTTCAGGGGAGATGTTCACCCCAAATATGGAGCCCTCGTGGCCGGTGAAAAAATGATGGATCGAAGTAACAGCATTCGGGGTGCCATCTTCTTCATTGCTCGTCGGAAAGCAGGACCACACGATGATCTCGCCAAAGACGGTACCAGCTGCTACTAGCACATGGCCCGGAGAAAGAGCGAGGATATCGGCAGAGTAAAGAATGGACTTTACGCTGGTGGCCAGCTGTCGCAAATGGACCCTGTTCGGGTAGGAGTCGCGAGAGGCCTTCTCCGTCACCTCCAGGCTCAAAACAGCATTGTGCGCTGTGACCAGGTAGGCGAAGGTCTTCTCTTTGTCATCGCCGTGCGAGGCACAGGCATCGAAGATCCAATCCGGCGCGGCATATTCCGCAGTCGCGGCCGACAGAGATGCTTGCAGCAGCCCGGCCTGGCCGTTCTTCTGGCCGACAAGATCGACAATGCGGAGAGAGTGGCCTCCCCAGACTAAGACTCGGGCTGTGTACGCGCTCTCATCATGCGAGTTCTGCGCATTCACGATAAATCCATGGACATTGTTCCGCTGGAATGTGCGGAGCTTGGAGAGCAATCTCCCACTGGTGGCGTCAAGGAGAACAGCGAATGGGCCCTGCCCCTGGAGAAGAAGCGTCTCCGCGCCGAATTGCAGCTCCTTTAGACCAGTGATGGGCAGACAGGTGTCGACATGCTAGCGGAGTCAGTACGGCATTTCTAGTAGACATGCATACGGAGGCAGCATTGTGACGGACCTCGAGGGAGAGAGACATTGAAATTCGCTAAGACCACATTTAACGCCCACCAATCTGATACCTCGCTTCTTCATGTAAGCAACCAGCCAGGGAACAGCCCACGCCTTCTCTGCGCGCTGGATTTTTTTTTTGATTTTTTGATCTTTGGATTTTTGGATTTCTGTATATGATTATCTAATCACGGACGGAAAAAAATCGGCGGGGCAATCCGCCGCTTTCCCGATCGAGACAGATGGGTCACGTGACTACGTGACTCGTGTTCGCGAGTGGCGATCGAGATGACTCGTCTGCCACGCTGGGAGACTGATTCTTTGACAGCACACGGTTCTGCTGGTGAACAGTCTGTTCATCGGATACATAGCAATGCGATGATCTCCTTCCTTGACGGTCTTCTCCGCTATCGCGAAGAGCCACGCCCGCGATGGGTGTCACCGGACTCTGGACCATCGTCAAGCCGTGCGCCCGCCCCGTCAAGCTCGAGACTCTGAACCGAAAACGGCTCGCCGTCGACGCGTCGATATGGATCTATCAGTTCCTGAAAGCCGTGCGTGACAAAGAGGGCAACGCCCTGCGCAACGCGCACGTCGTCGGCTTCTTCCGCCGCATCTGCAAGCTGCTCTACTTCGGCATCAAACCCGTGTTCGTCTTCGATGGCGGCGCGCCGGTGCTCAAACGACAGACCATCGCCGCAAGAAAGAAGCGGCGAGAGGGTCGTCGCGAGGATGCCGTCCGGACGGCGGGCAAGTTGCTCGCCGTTCAGATGCAGCGGAGGGCAGAGGAGGAACAGGCGAAGCGTAAAGTCCCGTCGCGGCCTCAGGACGAAGAGGAGGAAGTCTCTGATAATCCGAGATACGTGGAGGAGATTTTCATGACGGAGAAGGAGAAGCAGCAGAACCGCAAGTTCCGGAGGCAGGATGCCTATCACCTTCCAGACCTCGACGTGTCGCTGGAGCAGATGGGTGCTCCAGATGACCCGCGGATCATGTCGCAGGAGGAGCTGGAGGAATACGCACGGCAGTTTCATTCCGGCGAGGACATCAATCTCTACGACTTCTCCAAGATCGACTTCGACAGTCCGTTCTTCCAGAGCCTGCCTGCAGCCGATCGGTACAACATACTGAATGCGGCCCGACTGCGCAGTCGTCTACGAATGGGCTATTCGAAAGAACAGCTTGATGCGATGTTTCCCGACCGCATGGCATTTTCGAAATTCCAGATCGAACGAGTCAAAGAGCGCAATGACCTGACGCAGCGATTGATGAACATTAATGGCATGAACGGGGAAGACGCGGTGTCGGGGCAACGGATCGCCGGAGAACGAGGGAAAGAATACGTGCTGGTTAAGAATCCGGACGTCGAGGGTGGCTGGGCCCTCGGCGTAGTGGGGAACAAGAATTCCGGCGCGAGAGACAAGCCCATCGACGTCGACCAGTACGGTCAGCAAGAGGTCTTTCCTGAAAAGGATGACGAGGACGACGAAGAGGCGTTTGAAGATGTTCCTATTGAAGGACTGAACAGGCTTCCTAAGCTTCCCTTCTTACAAAAAGGAGTCTTCGACGAGTCTATCCAACGCCAGATCCAGGAGATGGAAGACAAGAAAAAGGCAGTGTACGAAGCACGACGGCAAGCTGCGGAGAATACCCGCGCTTATCAACAGGCTGATGATGATGATGACCTTTTCGTACAAGGCACACGGACGCGCCTGTTTCTAGGGAAAAGGAGGTCGATAAGCTGTTTGAGGCAGACGGGGACAGCGAAGACGAGGATCTTCGTAAGGCTATCGAGATGTCGCTGGAATCTGCAAAGGATGAGGACGTATTTGAGGATGCATCGCCTAAAGATGCTGCTCAGCCGCAACCGAAACCGCAGGAGACGACTCCAGCGGAAAGCGATGATGACATGGATTTCGCCGCAGCTTTGGCAAAATCAAAGAAAGCGTCTACGGGACCAAAGCCCAAGTCCATGGCTCCCAATATCGGAGCAGAACATGCATTCAGTGGGCCCCTCCCGTTCGAATCTCTTAAGAAGATCAGTACTTCTTCAAAGGACGATAAGCCCCAAGAGGCCAATCTAGACGAGGACGCAGGCGGGTTTGAAAGACAATCCGATACAAAACAAGAGGACAACACAAAACAAGAGAAGAAGAAGAAAGCTGCACCCTTGCCTCCATGGTTTGCTGGAGGCGAAGGGACGAAGAAAGACTTTATCGTCGATGACACGCCTGACGACTCTCTACGGACCTATCGCGACGCGGTGATGAGCCCAAACCATACCTTCTTGAGAGAGCACCGATCTCCTGAAGTCATCGATGTCGATAAGATTCCGGATTCGAAAGAGGTCATCGACCTGGTGGGTGATGAGGATGCTGAAGCTAAGCCCGAGAAGCAGCCCGCTGAGAAGCAGCTCGCTGATGAGCCGCCCCGCACGGACGATCCTCCAGTTTCCTTCGTGTCGGATAAGAAACAAGAGGATAATACTGAAACTGCCGTGCCTACGAAGGATGCATCTGAAGACGAACAACCCTACGAGTGGGAACCCACAGACGATGAAGGCGGCGCTACAAAAACTGCGGCGGAAGAGAAGGCTTCGGCCGTTCGGGAAGAGAAATCGCCATGCCCCAACTTTGAAGATGTGCAGATCTCTGCGGGGACAGAGCCGGCCACAAACGCTGAAAATAATATCCCACCAGAGCCTGAATCTGAAATGTCGCCCGTGATAGATCAGGGGGATACGTTTGTGGATGACAAAGCTGACTATTCGGACCCAGAAGATGAAGAGCTCATGCAGCAGCTGGCAGCAGAGGCTGAAGAGCATGCTCGCTTCGCCTCGACGCTCAACCAGAAAACACCGGCTGAGAATGCGTTCGACTATGAGCAGGAGCTGAAACAGCTGCGGGCGCAGCAAAAGAAGGATCGTCGAGACGCCGACGAGGTCTCGAAGATCATGGTCACTGAATGTCAGCAGCTGCTGCGACTCTTTGGGCTGCCATACATCACTGCCCCCATGGAGGCAGAGGCACAATGCGCGGAACTGGTCTCGCTGGGCCTCGTCGACGGGATTGTCACGGATGACAGTGACATCTTCCTGTTTGGCGGTACGCGGGTGTACAAGAACATGTTCAACCAGAGCAAATACGTCGAGTGCTATCTCGCCCAGGATCTGGAGAAGGAATACGCGCTCGACCGCAAGAAGCTCATCCAGTTCGCCCATTTACTCGGCAGCGACTACACGGAGGGCATCCCGGGGGTTGGACCCGTGACGGCGCTGGAGATCGTGACCGAGTTCGGCAGCCTCGAAGAGTTCCGCGACTGGTGGACGCAGGTGCAGAGGGGGGCGGACATCCCTAACGACCCCCATGCGGGCTTCCGCAAGAAGTTCAAGAAGCAGGTCTCGAAGCTGTTCCTGCCACCGTCCTTTCCGGATAGCCGGGTCGACGAGGCGTACCTGAAACCGGAGGTGGACTCGGATCCGTCACCGTTCCAATGGGGGGTGCCTGATCTGAACGGGCTGCGGAGCTTCCTGATGTCGACGGTGGGCTGGAGCCAGGAGCGGACGGACGAGGTGCTGGTGCCGGTCATCCGCGACATGAACCGGCGGGAGCAGGAGGGCACGCAGTCCAACATCACGCATTTCCTCAGCGGCTCCCAGGGAGCAGGGGCGTTTGCGCCGCGCGTGCGCTCCGAAGGCTCCAGCCGGATGGAAAAGGCGTTTGGTCGATTGCGGGCGGAGGCTGAGTCGCGCAAGCGAGCGTCGCGAGGCAGCCTGGAGGCGTCTGAAGCGGAAGCTGTCGACGAAGACCAGCCGGAGTCAGGTTCAAGCAAGAAACGGAGGAAACGGGCGACTCGGAGGGGATGACAGTGCCCATGAATATGGATAACAGTAACGATTATTCCTATGAATGGGGGTAGATATCTATGGAATGGCGTTAGAAGTCCCGGCTGGTGTTGATCTGGGTTTGGATCACGGTCTTATATACTATGGGATAACTATATGCACTGTACATAATACTCAGGACTAAAAATAATAGAACAGGGCAGAATTACACCTGCTCGTGTACTGGGCAACTGGTCTTGTGCCTACTAAGCCATCATCCCTTGACTGCACACTCGCAAGACTTGGCGATCCTATGCTGAGTCCAGGCCACGACGCCTGCTCATCGACGATCTGCCATCTATTCTTCCCCAGACCGGCGCATGGACGACAGAAGCCATCAAGCAGCGTAGCATCTTGTCGATCTGTGGGTGCGCATGCAGCCATTCCCAAACAGGCTAACTTAGCTAACGGGCTTGGCAGCGCATTCAGACGGAATTGCAAGAGGAGAAGCTTGTCTTGAAGCAGCAGAGGCTTCGATTCGATGACGTCGATGAGGGCAGCCAGTGGTGACGTCTGCACTGTGCACTCTCGCTGCTCGCCGGAAGGAGAGGGAAGACGGCGAGGAGAGGGTTTGCGGGAGCGCAGGCAGGGGAGAGAACGCGGTGGGAGGACAGGGCAGGATGGCAGGCCAGCTGTTCCTGCATGAGCAGTAGTCGCAGTAATTAATCGAACTGGAATTGACTGACTGAACTGCTGTGCGTGCTTGTCTAGCGCGCTGACTTGGCGTGGCGGATGTCTCGACCTTCGCCTGCCTGACTGGCCCGCCGCATTGGGCAGTATAGACGACGTCACCGACAGACTGCCCCGTCTTTAATCGCGCCCTCGCCTGCCGCTTCTTCCATTTATTTCTCTATCCACGGTCATCAGCAGTGTGCTGCTCCCTGCCATATCTCTCTGCTGGCCTGTTATCTCTGTCGTCGTGTCTGCCCAGCTGGCTGCCCCCTCCAGCTCGCCTGTCGTCACCGACCCCGCCCGCGATCACCGTCACGTCACTCGTGCGCACGCCCATCCATCCATCCTCTGCATCCTCATCCTCAATTGATCCCGCCGTCTCGCTGCGCCCTTGCTCCTGCATCTCCCCACGCCCGCACCATGCATCGCACCTACTCTATGCGCCAGTCGCGCGCGCCCACCGCCTCGCAGCTCGAGAACCCCCCGCCGCCCCCGTCCAGCACCAAGACCGGCCGCCTGTTCGGGAGAAACAACTTTGGTGAGTCACCAATTGCGAGAGACCTGTCGATAGTTCGAAAACGCAGACTGCTGACAATGCCCCGCCTAGGCCATGCCTTCCGCAAAAACACCGCCGGGGCCTTCGGGCCCGAGCTCGCCAAGAAGCTCTCGCAGCTCGTCAAGATGGAGAAGAACGTCATGCGCAGCATGGAGTTGGTCGGCCGCGAGAGGATGGAGGTTGCGGTACGTTGACAGTCTGGCTGCCACTCTGATGAAAGCTCATGCAATCACAGCAACAACTCTCCATCTGGGGCGAAGGCTGCGATGACGACGTCTCGGACATCACGGACAAGCTGGGCGTGCTGATATACGAGATCGGCGAGCTCGAAGACCAATTCGTCGACCGCTACGACCAGTACCGCCTGACCATCAAGAGCATCCGCAACATCGAGGCCTCGGTGCAGCCGAGTCGAGACCGTAAGTGAATGATCGTGGTGCGCGCTGAATACCCATTGACTGGATCTCTAGGCAAGCAGAAGATCACCGACGAGATTGCCAAGCTCAAGTACAAGGACCCCAACTCGCCGCGCATCGTCGTGCTCGAGCAGGAGCTGGTGCGCGCCGAGGCCGAGTCGCTGGTCGCCGAGGCCCAGCTGTCCAACATCACCCGCGAGAAGCTCAAGGCGGCCTTCAACTACCAGTTCGACGCGCTGCGCGAGCACTGCGAGAAGATCGCCATCATCGCCGGCTACGGCAAGCACCTGCTGGAGCTGATCGACGACACGCCCGTGACTCCCGGCGAGACACGCCAGGCGTACGACGGCTACGAGGCCAGCAAGGCCATCATCCAGGACTGCGAGGACGCGCTCACCAACTGGGTGACCTCGCGCGCTGCCGTGCGCTCGAACCTGTCGACGCGGTCGCGCACGCTGTCGCAGCGGCGCCGCAACAACATGGGCAAGGCGCGCGAGGACGGCGTCGACCTGTCGGGCCAGGACCAGCCGATGAACAACCGCGACTCGTGGGTGCCGGCGGACCAGCATGCCGAGTACCACGCCGACGAGACGGACGGCGAAGGGGCCGACGGCGCCAGCGTCTCGCACAGCGGGGCCAATGGCGAACACCGCGGCCGGGTCGAGGCGAGGGAGCCAGTGCCGGCGTAAACAATCCTCGAGTTATGACCTGTTCATACGGAGTCGTTCGTCTTTCGCTCGTTTCGTCATGATAAACCGGGATCTACTGCTTTCCGATATCTTTTCCTCTTATCTTTTATTTTTTATGTTGTCACGTTCTGTCTTTATGGTATATCTCTCTCTTCATGCGCTGATCGACCACGACGAGAGAGCAAGGCGTTCGCCGGGGGTTAATTGGGGAGTGCTTGTTGCGATGGCCTCGCGAGAAAATGCTGAAATGCTGAACATGCCTGTGTTATCACGTGTACCTACTATGTACGATTGGATGGGAAGGCCGGAGCAGGACAGGCTACGCTGGGTTTTGTTTTTGTCCTTAATTTAATAATTAATAAGAGATTTCTTTTCACTACGGAGTATTCAAGAGTATTTCTATAGTAGTAATCCCTTACTATACGGAAGCACGCTTCTAAAAATGGAAAGTGGACAGGCCTTCGGATGCCAGTTCCGAGCTGCTCGTCCGGCACGGACCGTCGATGATCAACTCCCACCTGTTCGGCAGACACAGGAGTTGGGAATTGCTGTTGCTAAGCAGCTAAGGTACAGGATAGGATTCGCCCCCAGGTATGACGATGTGGTGCGTTTGGCATTGTCTCAGATTAGCGCTGACTGCGTCTAGGATCTGCTCAGCCACTGCTAGCATCCTTATCTTGGAAATTATTCCCCCGCAGGGGAATGATTTGATTTTCTTTGGTTTTTTTTTCCTTTTTATTTTTTTATTTTTTCTATTTTATTATTTTTTTCTAATTTTTCTTCTTTTTTTTTCTTTTTCCTTTTTTTCCCCGCTACGCGTCCTTCAACGCCGGCGCCTCCGCCGGGCTCCGCTGCATACGTATGAATGCCCGCGCCTCAACCGGCTTCGACAAAGGCACAGCTTGCCCAACTCCGGATAGGCGTCGTAAGTCGCCTGCGTCTGATTCGCAGCTGCACTCCCCACAACGGTGTGCCTGACGTTGCCTGCTGATGCTGTATGATTGTATCTGGCGCGTATTTCCCCCTTGGGGCGTTTCCAGACTGGCTGCTGGCTGCTGGCGTGTGCAGATCCGGCATGATGATAGCGACTGCTGCGTCTGCTGACTGACTGACTGACTGAGGCAGCGCAGCACTCGCGGCTCGCTTACGACTAGAGTATCATGGTCTAAAAGCGAGTAGGGGTAGGGGGGGGGGGGGGGATATGTACGGACTTGTTTTCGACTTGTTTCACCCCCGGGTGTATTACTTCGAATTCTTACTCTCTTTCTTACTCTTTCTCTCTCTCTCTCTTTGTTCTTGTTCTCGCTCGCTTTCTCTCGCTCGCTGTCGCTATTACTGCCTACTGTACCAGACTGAAGATGAAAGGTCGTTCGCTCGAACGATAGCTTGGCCGTTCGCAACGGTTGAGTGAACTGGACAGTTACTTGCTTGATCTTCTCTCTTTACCGTGATATATATATACTTACTTACCCTCGACATGCTCGGCTCGGTCACACAGCAGAAGCTTCGCTGGTTCGACGCTTTCGCTGTGGCTTTTCTTCTTCTCTTCCATTGGACGCAGATGCTGGTCCATGCCATCCAGCTCGATGTCAAGGACAAAGGTTCGTTCGATTCTGTCTGCGGTCGTTCGATCTGCCTGCGGTCGTTCGATTCTGCCCTGTGGTATGGTAACTGACTTCGACAGAGTCCATCAAACAAGCCGCCAGCACCATGGCCTTCGACCTGGTCACCTTCTACCAGGGCAACCAGTCGGGCCAAATCCCTGGCTATCTTCCCCAACCGTACTACTGGTGGGAAGCCGGCGCCATGTTCGGCACGCTGGTCAACTACTGGTACCTCACGGGGGACAGCAGCTACAACGACATCACGACGCAGGCCCTCCTCTTCCAAGCGACTTCCAACGGCGACTTCATGCCGACCAACCAGACGCGGGACGAGGGCAACGACGACCAGTCCTTCTGGGCGCTGAGCGCCATGATGGCCGCCGAGCGCAACTTCCCCGCCCCGCCCGCCGGCTCGCCCAGCTGGCTGGAGATGGTGCAGGCCGTGTTCAACGAGCAGGTGACGCGGTGGAACACGGCGAGTTGCGGCGGCGGGCTAAAGTGGCAGATCTTCCCCTTCAACAACGGCTACGACTACCGCAACTCCATCGCCAACGGCTGCTTCTTCGACATTGCCGCCCGCCTGGCCCGGTACACGGGCAACCAGAGCTACGCCGACTGGGCGGAGAAGGCGTGGAACTGGGTGACGGAGGTCGGGCTCGTGGGCTCGACGTATCAGGTGTACGACGGCACGAGCGACACGAACAACTGCACGACGCTGGACCATGTGCTGTGGACCTACAACAGCGGGATATTCCTGCACGGGGCGGCCACCATGTACAGTTTTGTAAGACATCGGGATCTTACTGCCTGTACCAAAAAGACTAACGTCACAGACAAACGGATCCTCGGTCTGGGAAGAGCGCATCAACGGACTGCTCAACGCCAGCGCCATCTTCTTCTCGACCAACGCGTCCTCACTGAACGTCATGTACGAGTACTCATGCGAGTTGATCAACGACTGCACGACAGACCAGTTCTCGTTCAAGGCGTACCTGTCACGATGGATGGCAGAGACGACGCAGCTGGCGCCGTTCACGAACGAGACGATCATGACGAAGCTGGAGGCGTCGGCGGCAGCAGCAGCAAAGCAATGCGTCGGCGGATCGACAGGGACATACTGCGGGATGAAATGGACGACGGGAACATACGACGGCACGACGGGAGTCGGACAGCAGATGTCAGCACTGGAGACGGTACAGGGGTTACTGATGCCACAGGCCCAGGCACCGCTGACCAACGCGACGGGCGGGACGAGCAAGAGCAATCCAGACGCGGGGATGGGCTCCTCGTCCAACACGTACACGCCGAGCGAGGTGGCGGGGCGCATCACGACGGGGGATCGGGTGGGCGCGGGGTTTATTACGGTCGCGCTGGTGTTGAGTGTTTTTGGGTGTGCGTATGTTATGGTGAGTTAGCTGCATGTATTCTGCGGATATTTGACTTGTGTACAGTTGTAGATATAGCTATCCTGTCTATATTACGGAGTATGTATATCAAAAATAGAAAAACGAAAGAAATTCGAAGACCAACACACTATCCTTGTAGAATGCAGATTCTCATTCCCTAAAAAGCAATGTCATGGCAATCATAGCATACATAGCATAGCAGAGTATAGTATAGCATTCCTTTTTTTTCTCCTATTTTTTTGTCCGAGTCCTCGAGACAACTTCTTTTTTTCATATCAACCATGTATATACCTTACAACAAATAAAATAAAAATAAAAATAAATAAATAAAAGAAAATCGCAGTGGGTTGTCCCGTATGCTTCTACATGTATGTTTGTATGTACATACAAATGTACATACATACATACATACGTAACCATGTTATTGGTATTAATGGTATAATTTATGTACTGTACAGTACATACTCTAGTCTGATATGTATGTATGTAGGAGGTTGTACCAGAAATAGTAAGTCTTAGACGATAGTATTTAATAATATTGAATATCGAATGAGATGTCAAGCATACCATTTACTAAATTAAGAATAACATTTACTAAATTTATGATATGAAATCTGCCTTACTACTACTTACGTTATAACCTCTCTACCTTCCTAAAGATAGATACTATAAATATCGCCTTTTTTTTAATGCTCTTTGTTTGTGCAATTATTTCTGTGATGATATAACTGAATATCTTTTTTCTTTTTTTAAAAAAAAGGAAGCATTTTATGCTATGTAATATGTGTTTTTTTTGTGCGTCATTTTGCTTGTAAAGGAAAAAGAGGAAAGGAAAGAGAGAGGATTAGCCACAGAACGGTAAGTCCTATTATATTATACCTTTTTTTTCATGCCTTTTTTAAGGCTTTCTTTTTACCTCCCTCCTAACTAACATTCTTATTCTTATTCTTATTGCTCTGGGTGCAACCAATCTTTGTGAACTATACTATCACAATTTTTTCTACCATTACATTAAAATAAAACCCTAAAATCTGCTGCAAATGCTCTAATAAGGATGATAACGAGGAAGGATATTATTTAAGGAGGATGATATTTCATTTAAGGAGGATGGTATTGAAAAAAAAGGAAAAAAAGAAAAAAAGAAAAAGAAAAGAATGTGTAGCAACTAAATGGAGATATCATTGACTATTGTGCGAAGCTTAATGGAGGATCCATGAAGGATGCTCCAACTACATATGTACAGTACATGATATGGATGATCCTTATAAGTGATGGCTATGGATCAACTCTATGTGATCCGACAATGGACCATCCATGTTCTCCATCCGTCAAGGTACGACCTTGTACCGCGATAAGGATGATATTGAAATATATATATATAGGTTAAGAAATGGATTGATGGGTACTGTACCTCTTCTCTACTCTCATAAATAAGAGCTTCTTACTAAAGAGGATAATTTAAAAGACGGAAAGAAAAATCTATGGAATAGTTTAGAGCACTTAATATGAGAAGCTAGGAAGAAAGCTAGGAGGGCTTTAAAAAAAAGGAGAGAGAGAGAGAGAAGAAGAATTAAGAAATAACTATAGGCTTTATCTACTCCGTATATAGGCTCTATAAAGCTTCATATTGTATACAGGCTTGTGGAGAGCTGAAGTTGAAAGGTAGTAATACTATTGCTTGAACAAAAAAAATAAAGTGATGAATATGAAAAGAAAGAAGAAGTACAGTACAGTACATAGAACGAATTGTATCTAGATCGATCAAAAAAAAAAGCGATGAAAAAAGCAAAAAGAAAAAAAAAGAAGGCAACGTGCTGAGAGAGTCTGCTACAAAACTCTAATAACAGATTCTACTAACTATATTATTGGTATAATCTATAACATATGGAGCTGGTGCAAGAGGAAGACTTACACGATAGGATAGTATTGAATAATATTGAATGTATGAGAGTGTCATAAAAAAATAATACTATTACTTGACAAACAAACAACAATGTGATAAATATGAGAGAAAAAAAGAAGGGGAAGTAGAGAGTACATGTAACGAAAGGTAGATCGATCGAAAAAAGAAGGCAACGTGCCGAAAGAGTGTGTCTGTTATACGACTCTGAAAGCAAACAAGTTCTGTCTGCCAACTCAACTCACTCGCCAGGCTATTACTCCTACTAACGTCTATTTCGGACACCACACCTGAGGCGTCTGCACAATCAGATTCCATCAATCCTTCATAAACACCTGGCCCCGGGTCATATTCTTCGGATGCGTTCCATCGAGCCCAGGCTCATTCTGTGTGCATCCAGCACCATCCCGGATGAACGCCGCCGCCCTAGTCAGTATCTGTGCTCGTCACACTGATAATAATGACTCGCTCGCAGGGCTAAATCCCATGGCGATCAGTCGTTGGGGACCAGACCAACACTCGACTGAGAACACTTACGGGATAACTATGTATGTACATACGTGGGTATTATCTTTGATTCCTTTTTTTGGTGGCATCATTGCCGTTGACTTCAAGTGTCAAAGACCACCTTAGAAGAGTTAGAAGCATGATTTTCGTATAAAGAAGAGGAAATGACGAGCTGAACACGCCTTGTAGTCGATTTGACAATTTAGATTGTCTACATCTTCTGCAGATGATGCCCTGATTGGTATTCATAATGCAGCTGAATCTAAACATCCTTATTCTAATCCAAGGCTCCTGCCAACCTTAAATGGACTTAGGTAAGATAGCAAGCAGCCTCGCCCGGGCTAGTTTACCCCTCTTGAGCAACTTGGTTGTTTTTAGCATGTAGATACTTTAAAGACCAATTAGATTGTTCTAAAGCTATATAATGATTCTTCTACTAAGTAACTAACTATAAAGTAAAATCTCATTTCATATCTATTTTACATTGACAGCTACTCTTAATAATTAGTACTGCAAGGTCTATCTTACAATCTAGGTCTATATAGAGATCACATCTGCTGATTACCGGGCTGTCATCAGAACATATAAGATCAGCCTCGGCACATGAGCAATCCTAGACTGTACCATCTTTTTTTTTAATTATTACATTCTATGAACCTGATATCAAACTATCTCGATTGCTTTTCATTTTCTGACTTGACTGCAGCAACAAACAGAATTCTTTAGTGGACCTAACCATAACCTCATCCACGTTGTTATGCGCTTTAGAAATACACAACTCGCCCTGCACATCGCGATTTATGGAATGTCCTTAAATGAAGCAGGCAGGCTAGGTCAGTCTTATCCAAGTACCTGACTAGATGACCAATATTCTGACTTGTTTACTCAAGCTACAAAAAAAAAAACCAGTGCTATTGCCCTAAGTGGACGACGAGGTTGGCGAGTTTGTCAGGAGAGTCGGGTTGAAGACCGAGTCGGAGGATTCAGAAGAGCCAGACGATAGATGAATGTGTGAACTGAAGTAGAGCTTAGCAGAGCTTGTTGGATTAGACTTATTTATCCCTGTAGTTTTCAATGGACAAATTAAATTTCTTCGGATGACTTTACATTACCTTAAGCTGTAGTATGCTTTCTGATATAATTTTATAGCCTAGAGATATTAATATTGATTAACGCTGCAGCCTAGAAGACTATACAAGACGTTCTTCCTTGGACTTTGTCATTTTCTAAGTATTTCAAAATAGGTGACGAGTAATTGATCACCGTATTCTTGCAACAAGCTTATAACAACATACATTCCATTCCTTTGTCATTAAGCCCAAGGAGTACTATATATTCAAGTGGAATACTTAAGCAGGTCTTTTGTGTCGTCTGTGAAGGCTCCAATACTGCTTAAAAGTGATCAGTCAGCCACCGCTGATGAAAGACCGGAGACTGTCTGGTAATCAACAAATAAATACAAGTTAATCAGAGCCATGCAGGAATAAATGGAAATGAAGTAATCCGAACGTCAACGTACTGTACATACGTAGCTCGTGGAATATCGATTAAAAATAAAGCGAACCTAGTAGCTGATCTTACGTTCTATGTCTGCTGCAGATATACAGTACATGCATCTTACTACATCCGAACTGACTAGCTAGCAGACTAGATATAGAAACGCATACCGCTTCTTCTTTTCTCTAAGATGACATTTTTTTTCGCGGATAAGTATGTATTTACGGGGTAAGAAAAAAAACGGAAATCAATCACATGCACCATTGCATGCTACCTACCTATCGGGAAGGTCCTTGCATTGGACTCGATTCCTAATACTTAACTACTTAACCTCTATCATAGCCAAAAACAAGTCAGATAATACGTCATACTGTCAAGCAAGAAGTCTGTGTAAGGAGCGATGTTCCTTCTAAACTGGAACCTACTAGCTAGGCCACAATCCTTAGTATAATAGGTAAAAAGGACAATTCACGTGCTTAATTGCTTCAATTATGGGCCTTCCACACGTGATGGGGTGGAGGATCCGACGACATCCGTACAGTACGTAAGGTAATGGATGGCCGTCGATGTTGCTGCACGCGACCGACATCAGAGGTGTTATTAATGCCAATATCCAACACTTGCATACATGTTATTTTCCTACATCCATCCATCTGCTCTGTAAGGAATATGTAATTAGTCATCATCATCCACTTTTTTTGGATGGACGACTGGATGGATGAACGAGCGAATCCCACGAAACCAATTTAAATTGGCCGCGAAATAATTCGTTCCAATCTACCCAATCCACCATGATTTAATTTGATTTCATTGGTTTGCTGATTGCTACCTAGTAACTTACCACGTAGCTGGCTTAGCTATGGACCTAGGTACATACTTAACACTAGGTACATAACCCAACATATGCAAGCTATGTGTGTGTGCGGGGAAGGGGGGAAAGTATGTACGTACCTAAGGTGAGGAGAAACAGCCCAATCCAAGACAGACCTGTTACTAGTTAGCAGTTACGAAGTAGTTGGTCAGTCAGCTAGTTAGTCACTTAGTCACTTAGTCAGTGACTTAGTCAGAAGACAGACAGGGTTGACAATCCTGATCCTGGCGATCTATCTATCTAGAGTATCTATCTGATCACGCGATGATCCTGCTGCAGCTGAAATAAGAAAAATAAGTAGTTGTGCTGTTGTGGTGGTGATGATGTCGTGCTGTCGATCAAATATTCGCAATCGAATCGAATCGATCGATTCGTCCTGTTGGTAGAGTAGGAATGGTATCCACACGTTTATTTCTTTTTTGGTCTAAGTTCTTTTTTTTTGTTTCTTTTGTTGTCTTCGGTTATATGCGGAGGAGACTATCTTAGGCTATGTCTGCATGATGTTACTATGTTGCTGTAGTATAAATTTACTGGCCACAATAAAGTAGCTAAGCTAGGTGGTTAGGTTAGGTGGCTGCTAGGTACTACGCATTTCCTAGGAGGCGATTAGCTAATTAAAACTATAAACCTAGGTAGAGAGCTTAGTAGAATAAATCATTGAATCAATCCTGACTTATTCAGCTCTTGAGATGAGGCTGTTTAGTCTGAGCTGAGGACCTGCCTTGTTTATGACGATGGTATCTAGGTCTGTCGATATTAGCAAGCGCTGAGTATGAATACATTTGTTGGGTATATGCTGCATTATATCATCAATCAACCGTATATAGTCATCTGATCTGCTCTGATCAGCGTATTCAGATAGTTGCTGCTGTCCTATCCCGACTGAGCAGGACCTCATCAATCATCAATCCCATTCAGTCATCAATCAGCCCAGATGGATACGAATGTAGTACTCTTGTTGACAGGATTGGCCACATCCTATCAGCTAGAGCCTTCTGGAACATAATTCTGTTCACCTGACCGGTAGGTATATAAACCTGGCAGAACTCTCTGTGAACCACCAAGAATGACAGACAAACAGGATAGACAGACGACAGACTCGCTTCGCGCGTCTCATTCATATTCGACCCGTACATACGGAGACAGACGTATCACGTATCACATATAATATAACCATGGAACCCCCCACACACCGACTCCGAATATTGAAATAAACCCAAAAGAATGTCGATCGAATTGTGACAGACGATGGACGATTGTAGATAGAACGAAAATAAATCCATCCCTCAGAAGACATAAGACACAATGAAAGTATAGATGAAAAGAAATTCATTCGCTAACTGTCGGTCCCCACGCCCACGTCGCGTTTGGGCAGGATGGGTTTTTCATTGCCGGTGCCGCTCGTATTCGTGCTAGTATTCGAGTTCGTGCCTTGGCTTGCCATCATCGCGCTGTTCTCGGGTGGCAGCGGCAGCGGCGGCGCCGTCGTCCCCATGCGGGCCGCCAGGTTCTCGTTCTTCTCTGTCAGCAGGTTCTTCAGCCACCGGTTCTCCATCTCCAGCTGCGCGACACGCGCCTCGAGCGTCGCGTTCAGCTCTGTCGCCTCGCGCACGGTGCGCTCCAGCGCCTGCTCGCGCTGCTTCTTCTTGGCGCGGAAACGCGCGCTGGCTGCTGTATTTCGTCGTCGCTTGTCTTCCTCGGCGGCCAGCCGCTTCTGCTCTTCGATCGTGAGGGCGCGCGCTATCCGGTCTCCCGGCGGCACGGTGCTGTACTTGTTGTTGCCGACCTGACCATTGGGCGGCGAGATCGACGACACGTCCGACGGGGTGTAGTTCCCCGGGGCGTGGCCGAGATCGTCGATCTGATATGGGACGGACGGGTAGATGGGTGGTGCCGAGTAGGGAAGCATTTGCTCGGACATGGGGTAGTTGACGGGTTTGTCTGGACGACGTAAGTAAGAGTACAAATTAACAGCAGCAGCGAAATGAATAAATAAATAGATGAATAAACGAATGGATAAACAGGTGAATAAACGAATAGATGAATAGATGAAGCAATGATATAAGACAAGCTCATAAACTTTCTCCCGATGCTGGAGCTTGCTGGCAATAAACGATCAGGCCCAGGGATGCGGGTGTGTAATCATGGCACGGTATTGCGTGCTCAACCCCGAGTTCCAGACATGGGGATTCGAGATTGGTGCATCCACAAAGATAACATTGGGGGCTCAATTGGAAATCTCACTTGCAGAGTTGCAACGGGAAACCCTGAGGAAATTCTCCTCACGATTGGACCAGGAACGAGCACACGACAGTGCCACAACAGCACTCGGTACAGGCAAACATGCGGAGAAGTTCATCAAAGCTGCGGCATGCTACGTCGAAAAAAGCGGTCAGACACTTACCGTGGTAAGGATATGCTCGCACAGCGGGCTCGACAGGGCTGCGGTCGTCTTCGATGCTGTCGTAAGAGCTCACGGAGATACCACCCAGGCCCTCGGTCTGGTCATAGTCCATGATGGGAGCAGTGCTGGAGGAAAAGCGTCTGGCCTCGGGGTCGGTGTCGAACGAATAGTGGCGCCGCTCCGTGGCCGACGACGAGAGGTAATAGTTGAAGTGCTGCAGCCGGGCAGAGCTGAGGGCCGACTGCGAGGACGCAGGCTGCTTTCTGTCATGGTCCGGCGCACGGGTCGGTTGTGCAATGCGATTCGACTCGGTTTTTTCAGATGCTCGAGCGATCCACGTTGCCAGTGGCTCGTCGCCAGGCCTGCCAGTTGCAACCCCGGAATCGCACGACGGGCTCGAGAGGGGAAGCGCACACGGGGCAGCAGAGCGCAGACGGTGATTCGGCCCTGGCGAGGCCACGCGCAGGCAGGCAGGCAGAGGCAGCAGCAGCGCAGCATCGCCCTGCCTGGGCGGATCGTGGATGGCCGCTAACTTCTAAGAGCGGGTTAGGCGATGATCTGATGTGATGGAGAAATGTCGTGATCGCGGCGGCGGGCGGGCCAATGGCGTGCGGGCTGCCGTTGCGCGCGCTGCTGGCGGTTCAGGGGAAAATAAGAAGCTGTTCCCGGGGCTGCTGGCGACGCATTATTGCGCTTCTTCAAGCAGAAACACGAGCAGGGCATGTTGCAATTAAATATTCCTTCGTGGTCGCATGCTGGCACGGCCTCCGCCCGCGCTGCGTCAGTTCCCCGCTGCGAAACAGCCGGAGCAGGGCTCCTCGTCATCTATCGGGTAACAGCTCGTGAGCCGGTTCCACAGGCCGCTGGTGAGTGCTGGCTGCCGGCGATCCAGACCCGAAACCCTGGCCTCGCAGACGGCGTTCGGACTTCGCCTGCGTGCAGAGACGCGTTGCAACCTGTAGAGCGACGGGGAGGAACAGTCTTGGCGCCGGAAGGAGTGGATCACGGGATTCGATTTAAAGAGAGACATCTGACCAGCAGATTATACAAATCTCAGGTACGCAATAGACCGACGATACAATTGAATGCTTCCAGATTCTCAGATATACCGTCAGTCATGCAATACACCTGTCAAGGAGGTACTCGATCTCCAGCTATTTCTCCGCGAATTAGACAATGGTCTACGTTGATGATCCCGCGTTCATCGTGATGACGCGTAAAGCACTAGTCGATGGGAAACGCTGCTCTGGCGGTTGATGTCGGTGCTCGATTCTAGACCGGAGTCTGCTCATCATTGCTGGCCTCCCCGGTTCCTCTCTGCCAGGATCTCGGCCACATCTTCCGCCGTCTTGCCTCGACTTCTCTTCCCCACCTTCTCCTCCCCCAGGATGGTCTCCTCCGCGACCGTTCGATACACCTCCGCAAAGGCATCGTAGACGCTGCGGCCCAGTCCGTGCCAGTGGCCCTCCGTGTCGAACGCCTCTCCGATTCCGCGCATCTCCTCGACCCAGCGATACGCCTTGGGCGGCATCCCCGTCACGCCTTTCTTGCTCAGCGCCGCCGTATGCGGCGAATACTCGTCGAGGTGCTGCAGTAGTTCCGGCAGGAGGTCCTCCGCCTGCGCCGTGGAGAAGGAGAGGATCGACAGCGCCGTCAGGCCCTTGGTCAACGCGGCAAAGGTGAGTTTGAGCGTTGACGCAGAGCCGATCTTGGGCGACACCAGCTTCATGTTGAGCGTCTCCGAAAGGGATGCAAACGTGGGCGGGAGGTCGACCGAGCCGGAGAGGACCAGGCTGGGTTTCTTCCACGTCTGAGTGGCAGCGTCTTGCACGGGGGGTCCTCCGATGATTCCGCCATCGAGGAAGTGGCACAGGACCTGGCCATCAGACGGACTCTTGGAGAATAACGATGCGATCTCTCGCGCCAGACGAGGTGAAGTCGCATTGAGATCGAAAAAGTACGGTTTGGCCGTTGCTCCTTCGGGGTTACTGCCAAGTCTTTCTGCTCTCTTAGCTGTCGTATCCGGCAGCTGACAAGCATCGGCTATGCGACGGGCCGTCGCGAGGGCATCCCGCGGCGGGACAATCGAGAGAATGTAGTCGGATTGGATGACGAGGTCCTGATCCGAGGGGAGATCTTCGATGGCAGCGGAGCGGATGCGATCCAGCGTATCTTGGCTGGGAGTCATTAGTAGAGAAAGCATATCGACAGAGAGTCAGGAATCATACCTCCTGCCCGCTGCCACTGTCAGCACGCGATATGCGTGCGCCTGCAATAGCCTGGCGATCCCCAGACCCATATCTCCAATGGAGAGGATCCCAACCGAGACGGGCATGGTAGTAGCACTGTACTCCGTATAGGTCAATGCCAGATGAAATCACGCAATAAGACGAGACAACAGCTGAACCGGGTTCAAGCAGCCAGTCTTCCGCAGAGAACACAGCAGGTAATACGTCCAGTGTAACAGCAATCGAAGCTGAGATGGACGACCGTGATATTTCATATCCGGCTTGATTGGTCAGCAGCTGTACAGGTGGGACAGTCGTCTGCGGGGCTGGCAATTGCGCCAGCAGATCGTAGATAGTCTTAGTCGGCAGTATATTCTTCCTGCTGTGCACCAGCTGAATGGGTATGAAGATCCTGATTAGCAGGATCTAGAATTGACCCCAGGTTTTCTGCAAGAAAATCCCATTCGTCCATGCTCAATCACATTAAGCACTCTTGGCCAGTTTATCACATCGTTATCTATGCGAGCTTATCATCAGTCGAGCCAATAACGTCCCTGCATCAGCTGGCTGTATTATTGCTTCGAACTAGACATGCTTAGGTCTTCCCTGCTCCTTGATTCATCAGATATCTTGATATAATAGATAGTTTGGTCTGGTTGACTGAATCACCTGGATAGTAGAATGCATCTCCCCCATCCCACCTGGAATGAAGACACTCCACAGACAGGTATGAAACTTCAAAGTACGCTTGTAATTTTTTTTTTTTGATAAATAATTATTATCAACATTTTCTCCCCGTTCCTTAGCCGCAACTGCTAAGATCACGTTGGCAGCCAGACGTCACGCGAGTCATTCCTTCGGGTTTAGCGTCGTCTTGACTGTGATCCTCTGCTCAACACACGAGTTCTCGCTATGGAACCCCGCAACGCAAGAATTCCTGGAATTTCAAGGAGAAAAGATGCCAGCCACAATGTATACTTTGATGATTTCTCTTCCGTATCCCAAGTGCGGAACAATCCCAGGTACAGTCAGAAAGAAAGGTCAGACAAAACATTCGAGCAGTGACTATGCCACGCTGCGCAAGGCAGGTCCTGTGTCTCCGATTCACTGCGTTTGGGAAATAAAATACCACATTCACTGCACTCCTCTTCCTCTGGGAATATGCTATGCTATGCTATGCAGTCACACTTCGCTCCATTCACTGTGTCCTCGACATGCCAGTTCCCTCGGTGTCTTAGAAGTGAATCTGCCCGGGCTAGGGTATATAATGGCAATCTCCCTCCGTCTACGATAGAATCCACCTCCGTTCTTCATCTCTTTCGTTCCTTCCTATACTCTTTTTCTGAGCACATATGTCCGCAAGCTATATCACAGAATATAGAGGTCAACTGATCTTTATATATCCATCAGCTGCAATATATTTGTTCAGAGGGGAATAATATACCATCCTGCTAGCAAGGCACAGATCTTGTCTTTCACAGCATGACATCCGCAATTTGCCTACCGATTGGAAAGCAGTGGCATCTGTCACCTCATTTTCTGCGTTCCAGAGCTTGGAACCGAACGACTGCAAGATCTTCAATCGCCTGTTGGGCCATTTGTCGGTTCCTGGTACGGTTTGGTCAGTCGCTGCATCTTCAGACGTAAATATCCATCAGGG